CCTCCCACCACCAAAGCTTGATTAGCCCGCTCCTCATAGGTTGGCGTGATTTGTTACTTGCTTGGACTGGACGACCGTCCCCGGCAGTTCCTGTCCGGCCTCTGGAGACACGCAGTCCCCTGCAGATAATTCCACTACCACTTGCCGGAGTTGTAAACACTGCGGTCCTCGCGCATCTCTGCAAACTCGACCCCGTGAGATCTTTTCGAGCGGGTTTCGTGGCGGCATGCATGCACCTGTTTCCCTCCGTCTCTCGCTCTTGCTCGCCGGGATTGCTGGAAGTTGGAACACTAGTTAACCGTTTGTGGTGTTTTGACACTGACGTCCGAGTGGCGAAATCTGCAAGTTTGCAATTCGAAGCTGCTCTTGTAGCTCGGTCGGTCGGTCTACATAGTTGTTTCTGAGCCGCTCTAGCCTACTTGATTTCATCTTATTCGCCCCAAAGAACGGATGCAGACAGAAGCCTTGCTTTAGACCCTGCGGACAGTGTGCTGCAACCTGCCGAGTGCAGGAAGTGGCCGAACAAGCCAAGGACGCTGGGAGAGACTTTGCGAGGGCAAGCACTTGTTAGGTAAGACGGCACCTGGTTATCTGGATTTGTCTCAGCAGTAACCCGAAATTGAAAGTGCTGAAAGCACCGGAGGAGGAGGAGGACGAGGAGGAGGAGGAAGGGGGGAAGGAGTGGCCTCCCGCCAAGAGGAAGAGGAAGGGGAGCGTTTTGCCCAGTCTCGCCAAGCACTGGCACAATCATTGCTAGGACCGGGCGAAGTCCTACAAAGTGTCCGAGAAGCGCTCCAAGAACCTCAGCTGTTTACAAGAGGGGACAAGAGCCCCCAGAGGGTGGTTTTTGTACGTGCAACTGTTCCCTCACAGAGTTCAGGTTCGTAGACTTGTTGAGGTTCCATTTATGCCGAGTAAGGAATTTGAGTTTCAATGTTGCGCAAGGCTTGGTCGACAAGGTCGAGACGAAACATGCACTTGCCGCAGTTTGAGCCTAGCTGAGTCTAAGTGCTCTTGTTCGTACTACGATATATCTCTGACTCTATCTCTCAGCCTGAGCCTGAGCAAGACTCTGCATTCGTGTGAGGAGCGGAAGTGGGGCAGCTGCCACCTTGAAGGCCTTCCTGCCAGACTACATGAGGACCTTGAGTCTTCGCTCGGGGGTGATTCCTGGTTCACAAGACTTGAGGAGGCGTCAGCGCAGATGAAGGGGCGCTGAGGGCTCATCATGAGGGCCTGCAAATGATCTCAGGAAGCTGAGTGACTTGCCTAGGTTTTTGAAATGGTTTTTGTGGGATTTCCAACTCCATTGCGAGAACTTGAATTGAGTGTTGCGTCGTCGTTGGCAAGTGGTGCCGAGGTTTGCTACTGACGAGCATGGTTGGCCGTACAGTGGATGCAACATCCAGCCTGAGGGTGTTGAAGTCCTATACCGTGCGTTGATAAGACAGCCGAATCACCTTCAGGACATTTCTTGCATTGAAGATTTGATGAACCACGCAATGTGACTAAGCGTGAGCGCATCACGTCGGAAAAGGTCGCAACTTTGCGACCCACAGACGGCTGTCGCTGGGTACTGTAGAGGTTGCGCATTGGCTGCTGGTGGGGGTATTGTACGACGGCCGGAGGGTCTCACTTGTGCAGGAGCCACGTCATCGCAAGGACTCCCCCGGCACAGTATCGGGATCTTCTGCAACTTAGCACGAAAGCACCTTGTCAGGTGCCGTTCGTTCCCGAATAAAGGCTGACTTTTGGGCCTGGCACTCGTTATGCTAGGGCGTTTTCGGTTGGACGTCGTCGTTACGATCACGGGATAGTAGTTAATGTAGTGCTTGAAGTAGCAGTAGCAGTTGTAGTAGTATAGTCGTCGTCGTCGTAGCAGTAGTAGCAGTAGTAGCAGTAGTAGCAGTAGTAGTAGTAGTAGTAGTAGTAGTCGTCGTAGTAGTAGTAGTAGTAGTCGTCGTAGTAGTAGTAGTCGTAGTAGTAGTAGTAGTAGTAGTAGTAGTAGTAGTAGTACTAGTCGTAGCAGTAGTAGTAGTAGTAGTAGTAGTAGTAGTAGTAGTAGTAGTAGTAGTAGTAGTAGTAGTAGTAGTAGTAGTAGTTAGTAGTGGTAGTAGTAGTAGTAGTAGTCGTCGTAGTAGTAGTAGTAGTAGTAGTTAGTAGTAGTAGTAGTAGTAGTAGTAGTAGTAGTAGTAGTAGTAGTAGTAGTAGTAGTAGTAGTAGTAGTAGTAGTAGTAGTAGTAGTAGTAGCGAGAGTAGCAGTAGTAGCACTGGTAGCACTGGTATCAGTAGCAGTAGCAGTAGTAGCAATAGTAGCAATAGTAGTAGTAGTAGTAGTAGCAGTAGTAGCAGTAGTAGTAGTAGTAGTAGTAGTTGGCTACGGCTCAAGGCTCAAGCGACACGTCTTGTCACGGATTAAGACTGGCTCCTGCGTCTCTCTCTCTCTCTCTCTCGGTTCTTCCTTGTCCTTCTCTTTGCCTCCCATTCTGTTTTGGGATTTTGCGACCTTTATCTCTCCTTGCACTGTTTTCTTCGGACTGCTCTCTGGCTGCCTTTCCAGCCTTTTGCACTGACTGCCTTGCCTTGCCTTTGCTGTGTAGCAGCAACCTGCGCCTTTCAGTGAAGGAAGGCCCGACATGAGCGACACCAAGGAGCCTCAAGAGCCAAAAGAGAGAAGCAGGGACGATCACGAGCGAGGTCGAGGGCGCGACAGAGACCGCCACCGCGCCTCTGACCGCCGGAGGAATGGCGAAATCACGCAAGGGCCCCTGACTGTGGATCCAAGCAAGCATCAGCGAGGTGCGGGTGTATCAACGCCTGCTCCTAGCACCGGTATGAGCACCACTCCCCTGCCCTCGATTGGTAGTCATCAGAATATCCTCGAACAACCCATCCACCGTCCTGCTGAACCCAATCCTCGACAAGAGAGCTCGGACACGGACCCGGAGAAGCGTGCCCCAGAGTTGAAGAAAGCCAAACTTGAACCTAAGGACGAGCAAAACACGCAGATAGATGAGCCCATGCCAGCGAGGATTGACCACAGTGCAGTTTTTGGGCCCCACGAGGTTTACGATCTCACTGTCGGGGATACTAAGGACCACGATGAACTGAACTCGGCTGATGCGGCTCCCAAACCAGCTACCACTGACCCTGGACCTTTCCCTACCCTAACCCGTAACTCTGCACCTTCCGAACCTCCTGAATGGGTTCAAGACCTCACCAAGTCCCTGCAAGGCCTGCATTTCCAAAGCGACAAGACACACTCGTACTGTCTTGAACTAGGGGCAGCAGTTAACCAACATCAAGCACGAATCGAGCACCTTGAGTCCTGCCAAAAGGAAACCACGGATAGACATGAGCACACTTTGGTTCGGCTCTCGGCCCTGGAGAAGGTTGTAGCTGATTTGGAACGCCAACCCCGCTCACCGGTGTCCCCACGTTTTGCACCAGGCAGCCCGAGAGGGCATAGTCCCAGGAGCCCACGTGGAGGAGCAGACTTTGTGTCTCCGCGCGATCCCATGCAGGATCTCGGACTTGTGATTGGGGGGTGGACCGATGCTAGGTCCTCTGAAGCCGAGGAGGAAGTCAGGAACATGTTCAAGGCAGCGGGACATTTGGATCAGCTCGACACTGTTTCAGGACCCTCGGGCAGGACGAACTTCCTAAGGGTTTCTCTTGTGTTCAAACAGGATTCCTCTCTTTCCCAGAAACGACAGGTACAGAAAGACATCCTGGAGCGCCTGAAAGGGCTTGAGTGTACGAGAGTGGGATAGAAGTTCTAGAAGGCCAGAACGGGGAAAAGAAGTGGGTACAGCGGGACCGTCCGCTCGATGAAAGGCTGCGCATACGTGCTATTGTGCTAACTAAGAACTTCTACAACAAGATCCCCCCGTTGCCAGGGAGGCCTCCTCTGCCGGCGCCCGAGCTGGTCTGGAGAGGTCAAGTTTTCCTAGGACAGACGAAGATGCTCCGTTCCATGGACGACGGACATGAACCTGTCCCCACTGACCAGATAATCGAAGACAACAGGGGCAACTATACCATATGGTTCCTGTCATCGCAGGCCTACGAAACCGCGACGGGGAGGCCTAAGGAAACGCTCCAGCAAGCCTGGCTCGACTACGGCCCGGCTTCTACCCCCTTTGGGGGCGGGGCACTGTGAAAGCCTTCGGCCCGGGGCCCGGATGCGAGTCTCCACATTGCATCTTGGAATGTTAGGGGCAAGAGTCTCGATGATCTTGCCCTGATATGGGACTTGGCTGGACTCTCGGGCACGCAGCTCATAGCCCTACAGGAGCTAGGCGGCTTGCCCTGCAAGTGCGCCACGCATGACACCATCCTGCACCACGAAATTTACCTTGCTGGGCGAAGTTTCACCTTTTTCCATTGTGACCCTTCTCACTCCTTCCGAGGCAGCGCAATTGGGCTCCCCACGGAATGGCTTGGGAGAGTGGAGCGTAAGGCGACTTTCAGTACAGGGTTGGGCCTGGTCCTCAAGCACCAGGGGGTTAGGCAGTTCGTGATGAGTGCCCACCTTCCCCACGACCTCCGAAAGGACTGTCTTCAGGTCTGGCAAAGTCAGGTAGAAGAAATTTTGCAGTTTTGTGCGCCACGCCGGTATCATGACCTCGTCTGTGTCTGTGCGGATCTGAATTATGACATTTTGGACATTGTTTCAGTGGATGAGCGAGGAGTGCCCTTTGGCCAGCTCCTTCGTGACCTAGGCCTCTCACACAGTACTCCCCATTCTGCCACTTGGAGAAACTCCAGAGGATCGGAATCTCGTCTGGATTTCCTCTTGTTCTCCCTCCCCTCCATGGTGAAGTCCGATGACGGTGTTCACCCTAGGCACGGATCACTGTGCTGTAAGCATTTCCTTGTCGCTGTGTGGTCGTTCGGGTCGTAGGCGCTTTCGTAACTCTAAATGCGGCAAATGGCACACTGACACCCCGGCTTTTGTCTCGCTTTGTGAGAAACTCGCCGAGTCCCTTGACCTTTCCATGAAGGATCTCAGCATGGCTGACATTGAACTTGCCTGCCAGCAGACTTCACGAAGGATCACCAGCTGCAGGTGCAAGGACGGTCCGGAAATTCTGGACATGATTAAGCGACGCAAGGCCCTCAGAGGAGCCGATGCCAGGACTCTGGCAAAGGATATTGCTGATGCGCGCCGGGAGGCCAAGAGGGTCTGGCTCACGTCCCTACTCGAGCGCGGTGCGGAAGGTGACTTCCGAGCGCTCACCTATTTCCGTAAGCGCAACTCCGCGGCCTACACACATGGGTCCTACTGCATGAGGGCTGGAGGCAGTGTGAAGGCTATAGCGGACCTCAGAATTTTCTACCACAAGAAATTCATGAGTGCTGACTCCAATCCGCGGGGTCTAGCCATGGCCATCTTCCGACATCGTGGTGGAGCCATTGCCAATCCACAGCCCTTCACCTTGCAAGAACTTCAGGACATTGCTTTCATGTGCAAGCACAACAAAAGCACGGGGGCTGATGGGATCTCTTACGAAGCCGTTCAGCTTCTCTTGCAGACCAGTTTGGGAGCAAATTTTGAGCTGTTCAATGACGTCTTGTTGGGGCTGAGACCGGTTCCTGACTCATGGCTGAGCAACCACGTCACCTTTCTTCCGAAGACGCCATCTCCCTGCTGTCCGGGCGACCTTCGCCCGATAGTCCTCTCCCCTACAGTGGCTAAGGTCTTCACCAAGGCACTCATGCTGCGACTAAGGTCACGCCAGGGTTTATCAGGTCGGTGGTATCCCGGGCAGGCAAACCTTAGATTCCGTGTGTGCCGTCCAACACGCGATAAAGCTCGCCGATCAGTATCGAAAACCGTTGTTTGTGATCAAACTAGATATTTCGGCCGCGTTCGATTCCCTATCGCATGAAGCTTTAGCTGCCTTCCTCAGTCAGGCGACGGGATGCCGCGAAGCGGAGCTCTTGCTCCAGATAATAGTGTCCACAAAGGTGGTGCTGGGGATGCAAGGCACCTCCTGGGAGCAACCCCTCTCCCAGGGGGTGCTCCAAGGAAGTAGTTATTCCGCGGAACTCTTCGCACGTTGCGTGGACTTTTATCTCGCCAAAACGAGCGAGGGATGGCAGGACCATGAAGATACCTGGCTGCGCACGGCTCAGAACCGCAAGCTTTTCCTGACCCCCTTCGCAGATGACCTGGTGCTTCTTGGGTCCACCAGAGAGCAGGCACAGCGGCTTCTCCGCGATGTGGAGCTCACTCTGCAATCTATTGGGTTGCATTTCAACGCAAAAAAGTGCAAATTTATCAAGCCGTCCTACTGTTCGGACACGCCGCTGTCACTCAACAATGGCGGCCTTGTGGAAGCCCGAGATAACATGGTTTTCTTGGGGGTCCTGCTCGGTTTTCAGCTGTCCTGTTTCGCAGTCATTGCAGCACGCGTGGCTAAGGTCAGCAATGCCTTTTGGGGATACTTTCGTGTGCTGCGGCAGGCAAAGGTTGGTATGTCCCAGAGGTTGCGAGTTTTTAATTGCTTCGTCACGTCCAGGTGGAGGTGGCTTAGTCCGGCCTTTCGGCCTCTGAAGTCTGTTCGTGACTTCTTGAAAACGACTCACACCACTTTTCTCACTTCCATTACGGGGTTCACGCGCGATCCATTTCAGTGCGCGACTGAGTCTTGGACTGCAAGACGGCGGGCGAGCCGCTTGACGGCGCAGCAAGCTAGACACTACAGATGGGAAGCCACCCATGCCAAGAGTTTCCTAGCCTACTGGGGCCATGCTGCCCGTTACGCCAGTGATGCCTGCGTGCCGGTAGTCCTAGCATTCCGCATCCGGGACCCAGAATGGCTTTTTGCGAATGCGCACCTTTTCCCAAGAGCTAAACCCGGCAGGTGCCCTGATATTAGCCGCTTTCTGCAGTTAGCTTGGGAGGCTTTCTTGCTCAGCAGGGGTGTTCATGCTGTGACGTCCTGGATTCAGGGTGCAGCGGACAGAGCGACATGGAAGGACTTCTCTGTGGCGTGGGCCACGCAACATGACTGCCTTGAGTCCCAGTTCTATTCAGGACCCCCTGAGCAGGTCGACCTTTGTGGCAGACAGTTGTTGCAGAACGGGGATTTCTACTCGCTTCTCCCGATTAGGCACGTTCCAGTCGAGGCACCCTACTCCACCTCCTTCCTGAGGCTTGACCACGGAACCGAATCTCAGGCCCTTGAGGAAGGGGCCACGGAGCACCTTTTCCGAGTCTTTTCGGACGGCAGTGCTTCTCAAAACCGAGGCACCCCGGGTTGCGGCGGGGCCGCTGTCGTTTTGCTGCCTCCGTACCAAACCATAGAGAATGCGGTGGTGAGCTACTTTAAACTCCCAGCCCCGTGTACCAATATCGAGGCCGAGCTGCGAGCTGCTTGTCACGCCATGCAGATGATCGAAACCTTGCTGTCTTTTCACCCGCAACTACAGGTGACCTACTGTAGCGACAGTCAATACGTGTTGCAACTACTTGACGGGGCATTCCAGGGGACGCATCATGCTTCGGTCACGAACGAACTCCTCTGCAGGTGGAGTAAGATCTGCTTGCAGGTTGAGGCATCGCACGTCCGTGCACACAGGGGCATTTTGCTGAATGAGGTGGCTGATCATTTCGCCAAGATTGCTGCAGCCCAGGGTCATTTCGCCAAAACCTACCGCGCATTGTCGTCGTCGCATGCTCGCATCACTTCACAGGCTGATCGTGCCTTTGTGTCTTGGCTAGCCTAGGCTCCTGACTCTCTTGCTGCATCGTGCTTAGTGACGACATGACACGCGGGCTCATAACTGCATGATTCTTCAGTTTTGCACTAGCCTGCTCGCTTCTTTCAGCGGGGGGGGGGGCAGGACGGGATCGAAAATGTCAGTGCTTGCAGAATTTTGTGTCGATACACTTTGTGATTGCGCATCCACTCTCACTCCGATCTCTCTTCGTGATGGTGGAAGCCTTGACCGCGCTTGGATTCCTCGTCGGAGTCCTCTGTGGACTCTGCGGTATGGTCCTCTTTGGGCTTTTGCAGCAGCAGCAGCGAACCCCGCAGACCTTGCCTGCGACGGTCGCCACTACCGAGACGCCGGAGGCGGCAGTTTCCGCGCCTATGCTGGCTACGACAACGGCCTCACCCTCGCCACCACCAGGGCTTCCGGATCCGTCCGATTCGGTGTTACCCGACTTGCTGTGCGACTCGGCTCCGACCAAGCCGACCGACCCTGCTACGGTGAAGGTGGCGAGCCCGCGAGACACCAGTGCTCAGTTGGCTCCGGATGCATCTACTACGTCTTGTGCCCCGGTGAGCCCAGCTGTCACCGAGGATGCCTTCGAGAACCTCAAGCTTTGGATCGGAAGCGAACTTACCCAACATGTACTGCAGCCCCTCCGCAAGCTGCAGGCTGGACACAGTGAGATCTTGAAAAGCTTTCACGAGATCCTCGAAGACAAAACCAAGATGGACACCCTCCTGGGCAAGCTTGTGGAGCTCCAATCCGCCCTGGAGCGCAGCCCGGCGCCACAGGTGGATGCGCTGCAGTCCAAGGTCGACCGCTTGCAGTCCGACCTGGACAAGGTGACGAGTGCCACGCAGGGCATCATCAAGATCGAGGACAAGTTGGTGGCCAAGGTCGACGAGCTCAGTGATGTGGCGGGGCGCCGACGCGCCTACCTCGAGACAGCCACGGATGGTACCCAGGACCAGTTGAGAGGGGTCATGCGCGAGCTCCAGGCCATGGCTGCGAGTCTCAAAGACCACCGGCAGGCGATGAAGGATGCCACGACGGAGACATCGCGGCGTCACATGGAAATACTCAAAGAACTTTCGACTCTCAGCTCGAAAGTGCACAACGGGTTTGCTGGCCTGTCGGGCATAGGCAGGTCCGCCATGGCGGCAGCACAGGAGAGCAAGGACGTGGCCGAAAGGGGCCTCGAGATCAGCGAGAGGTCCCAGCCCGTCAGAGACCCCCTTGCTCGAGAAGGTGGGCGACACGCAGACTGTGCTTGATGAGGTGAAGCACAGTCTCACTGCTTTGGAAGCCTCTCTGGAGGCACTTCGCGCTCATGTGGCCAGTCCCCCGGCTCCTCCGCCGCCATATCAACCGCAGATGGTGACTCAGACCACCGTGCCGCCGCCACCGCAGCACGCACCGAACCTCGTGCACTTGACGCCGGCGGGTGGTGGTGGATGGCAAGGCCCAGGGCCGACGGCCACACTGATGGTGGGGAATCCCCAACACCTACTGAGGGCTCTTGCTGGGCAAGGTCAACTGAGTGACTGAGTGTACTCGCCTGAGTGACATGATCTGCTCCGCGGCTCACGCCAGCTAGGCTAGTCTGAAGCTTTATCTTTGTGCTGTTTTCAGTTCTATCGTGTGTGCGAGCCACAAGGAGCCTGGACTCACAGCCGTGAGTTCCTTTTGGACTGTCCTCTGCCTTTGCACTGCCTTTGGCACCTTGTATAGTACTGGTACTGCTGACTTGCCTTGACCTTGATCTTTGTGCACCGCACTGTCCTTTTCAGCCGTAGACGCCAAACAGTTCTTACTTGCGTGCACTGCACTTCTGGGAGAGCTGTGGTGGCATCATGCATGTGGCTGAGCAGAGCTGTCTAAGGTCTCAGAGTTTGTGTTCTTCAGCTTTTCGGGCTCGGAAGAGGGTCTGTTCTGGGGCTGGATGCAACATGTTTGTGCACCTGAGACCTGCCCTGTCTGATGCGATTGATCTCGCAACTCCGACCCAGCCTCGCCCAGGGCCAGTCTGTAGGTCGTTGCCTGAGGTTGTCGACAGCTCCAGCGACGAAGACTGCAGCACACCCACGCGACAACACGAACCCATGTTCCTGGCTCGACATAAGCTTCCCCACCCTACGTATGCACCCAGGGCTAGGAAAGTGGAATTTCGTGCTTTGCAAATCATCAAGAAACCCCGTAGCCCATGCAAGCATGACCTCCTGGAACTCTTTAGGCTCCTGCCGCCAACGGTCCTCAAGACCAGCCCACATGGCCAGTATGTGGTAGGTGGTGCTGCACCTAGGAACCACGACATGGTGCTCACCTCAACTTTGCAGTTGCCACTGTTTTCGATGGTTGTAACCAAGTACCTGACCTTTCTAAACCCACGACATGCATACACGACTTTTGTGTTGCGTCAGGGATGCTACAGCGAGGTGCATAGGGACACACGTAATGGGCCAACCAAGGCGCTCATTCAGGCCCTCACACATGTGCCTGCAGGAGAGGGTCTGTGGCTTCAGGATTCGGCAGGACTGCATGTGAAGTCTTTTAAGGGGCAGCCTCTCATGGGGACCGTGTTTGATATCTCGCATCCCTTGCTTTTCGACTCCCGACGGAGACTTCATGGAGGGCATGCGCCGACGCCACAGGACAGGGTCGTTTTGATTGCTTTCTCGACCATACATGTGAGCACCTTGTCAGTTTGGGTTAAGGGGTGCTTACTCGATTTGGGATTTCACATTCCGACCTCGGCAGACATTGCAGCAGCTAACAGGGCTAGCATGTGGGGACGCGAACCGGTACTTCGCCAGCTCACCTTACAGCAGACCCTGCACCAGCAGAGCGAGCCGCCCGAACAACGTGCACACTGGGAGGAGCATGATGTGGTGGTGCTTTTGGATGATCCCTAATCCCCGAACCCAGCGAGGCCCTAGGTTCCAGGTGTTGCTTGGCTGTGCCTTGGTCAGCAAGGGGCGTGTGTAACACACGCCCACGGTGCCTTGGTCTGCACTTGGTCCTTGCCTGCTGCTGTGCTGCTCCCTGCATGCCTGCTACTGCACTTTTGCACTGTACTGCCTTTCCTTGCCTTGCACTTCCCTTGCCTCCCCTTTTGGTTTCACCTTCTCACTTTCTGCACTGCCTCACCTTGCGTCGTCACTGCCTTCTGCACTGCTGTCAGTCGTCTGTCCCAGGTAGTCCCCATCCTTCACGAAACCACTAACCCACGCTCTCGCGGGCGCCATGGCTCTGTCATGCTGCCGGTTCCTGCAACGGATGGACTACAGGGATCTCTGGTTTCGGCTACGATGTGCAACATGCGTTACTGTACTGATCCCTGACCTGGCGCTGCGACGTCATTCTACTGGCCCTTGGGGGATGTCGAATGGGCCACCACTGCACTGATGCTTGTGAGCCTGCGGGCAACAGCTCGCTCTGCTGGCAATGTTCGTCGTGCGGAGGCCCATGGAAGAGCGCCTGGCACTCTGTACGCCAACAACACCGCGACTCCACCCGAAAACACAGCCAGCCAGGCCCTTGCCGCCCGCACTGTGTGGAGACTTGCGATGAGTGCTGCGCCAAACAAAACAATGCAGCCTGGGGGAGAGGCGTGACTCTGTATGACCAGCCTACTCATGCAGCCTGGCCAACTGGAGTTGCGACGTCCAATCAGGCCGGTGCCGGATTGTGCCTAGTCGAGCTGGGAGATGGCGACCTGCGTACTTCATGTACCCTCCTGGGGACGCCTGTGTCACATCCAGCTGTCCTGACTTGGGGCCCTGTTGATGAAGAACGAAAGCAGACCTCGTAACAAGAAAAGGGTCCTGTTGGCTTCGGGGCGGCCATGTAGGTTCTGAAAGTTTGGGAAGGCGAAAGGGTGGCTAGTACTCGTGGCACTGACTTTATGTGTTCCTGATCACCTGTTTTTGGCAGCCACTCCTCGCCTTGGGCAGTTTAGGTAGTCCGTAGCAAGTGTGAGTGATGCGCCTCTCGCCTCTCGCAGCCGGTAGTCCGTGATGCTGACTTTATTGTTTCCAGCCAGTGTCTTTCCGGGGAAGGGCTGCCCGAGGCGTTTCGCGAGCTAAGTCAGAGCGCCCGCAGCTGCTGCAGTAGTTCGTGGCCTTAACTTTATTGTTGGTCAACAGTTGTTCGAGGCAGGCGGCTAAGGGTAGCTTTCCGAGACCTTTGAACTGCTTTCTTGAGTCCTTATGCGACCGGCTGGCGATGGGAGGGTGAACCCCTGTTGCTGGAAGGTTCGGAGGGGCACAGACCTGACCTCTGTTTCCTCGCCTCGTGACAGACTTGTGACCTGCAATGCGGTCTTCGGATCAGCCAAGTGGGAGCCAATAAAATAGTAGTAGTAGTAGTAGTAGTAGTAGTAGTAGTAGTAGTAGTAGTAGTAGTAGTAGTAGTAGTAGTAGTAGTAGTAGTAGTAGTAGTAGTAGTAGCAGTGGTAGTAGTAGTAGTAGTAGTAGTAGCAGCAGTAGCAGTAGTAGCAGTAGCAGTAGCAGAAGCAGCAGCAGCAGCAGCAGCAGCAGCAGCAGTCAGCAGCAGCAGCAGCAGCAGTAAGCAGCAGCATCCGGAGTAGGAGGAGGAGGAGGAGGAGGAGGAGCAGGAGCAGAAGTAGGAGTAGGAGTTGTGGTAGTAGTAGTAGTAGTAGTAGTAGTAGTAGTAGTCGTAGTAGTCGTAGTAGTCGTAGTAGTCGTAGTAGTCGTAGTAGTCGTAGTAGTAGTACTCGTGGTACTAGTCGTAGTAGTGGTGGTAGTAGTAGTAGTAGTAGTAGTAGTAGTAGTAGTAGTAGTAGTAGTAGTAGTAGTAGTAGTAAACGCAGTGGAGGAGGTTTGGGTTTACGTAGTCGTAGTGGTAGTGGTAGTCGTATGTAGTCGTCGTAGCAGTAGCTCAGTAGCTGTTGCAGTGGTAATATTACTGGTAATAGCATGGAAGCGTGAATGCCACATTTGGCATCACGAAGCGACATGTCAGATGTGCTTCCCAGCCGAGGAACACGTCCCTGACGTTGCTCCTCGACTCCGTGCTCACGGAGGCCCTTTGAGAAATAACGCAAGAGCTGCTCGTGCTGTCCAATTTGTCCCTGCGTTGTGCCCCACCGTACCGTCAAGCGGATGGCTGTCCGTTCTTTGGGTTATTTATCGTCGCATGCGGCATGATGCAGGTATGCAGGAGACTGACAGGTGTAGCTAAACCGAGCAGATAACATGAGAGCTATGACATTGGAAAGCAGTCGTTCGTGGAGGATTTTGGAGGGTGTGGTCATGGTGTGGTTAATGTCCCCAGAGGCGGCTATCACAGTAAGCCCGTAGAGAAAGAAGGATCTCAGGGACCTTGATCGTCCTCTAGTTTCACTTTAGTCCCAGGAGCCCGCGTGGAGGAGCAGACTTTGTGTCTCCGCGCGATCCCATGCAGGATCTCGGACTTGTGATTGGGGGGTGGACCGATGCTAGGTCCTCTGAAGCCGAGGAGGAAGTCAGGAACATGTTCAAGGCAGCGGGACATTTGGATCAGCTCGACACTGTTTCAGGACCCTCGGGCAGGACGAACTTCCTAAGGGTTTCTCTTGTGTTCAAACAGGATTCCTCTCTTTCCCAGAAACGACAGGTACAGAAAGACATCCTGGAGCGCCTGAAAGGGCTTAAGTGTACGAGTGGGATAGAAGTTCTAGAAGGCCAAAACGGGGAAAAGAAGTGGGTACAGCGGGACCGTCCGCTCGATGAAAGGCTGCGCATACGTGCTATTGTGCTAACTAAGAACTTCTACAACAAGATCCCCCCGTTGCCAGGGAGGCCTCCTCTGCCGGCGCCCGAGCTGGTCTGGAGAGGTCAAGTTTTCCTAGGACAGACGAAGATGCTCCGTTCCATGGACGACGGACATGAACCTGTCCCCACTGACCAGATAATCGAAGACAACAGGGGCAACCATACCATATGGTTCCTGTCATCGCAGGCCTACGAAACCGCGACGGGGAGGCCTAAGGAAACGCTCCAGCAAGCCACTGTGAAAGCCTTCGGCCCGGGGCCCGGATGCGAGTCTCCACATTGCATCTTGGAATGTTAGGGGCAAGAGTCTCGATGATCTTGCCCTGATATGGGACTTGGCTGGACTCTCGGGCACGCAGCTCATAGCCCTACAGGAGCTAGGCGGCTTGCCCTGCAAGTGCGCCACGCATGACACCATCCTGCACCACGAAATTTACCTTGCTGGGCGAAGTTTCACCTTTTTCTATTGTGACCCTTCTCACTCCTTCCGAGGCAGCGCAATTGGGCTCCCCACGGAATGGCTTGGGAGAGTGGAGCGTAAGGCGACTTTCAGTACAGGGTTGGGCCTGGTCCTCAAGCACCAGGGGGTTAGGCAGTTCGTGATGAGTGCCCACCTTCCCCACGACCTCCGAAAGGACTGTCTTCATGTCTGGCAAAGTCAGGTAGAAGAAATTTTGCAGTTTTGTGCGCCACGCCGGTATCATGACCTCGTCTGTGTCTGTGCGGATCTGAATTATGACATTTTGGACATTGTTTCAGTGGATGAGCGAGGAGTGCCCTTTGGCCAGCTCCTTCGTGACCTAGGCCTCTCACACAGTACTCCCCATTCTGCCACTTGGAGAAACTCCAGAGGATCGGAATCTCGTCTGGATTTCCTCTTGTTCTCCCTCCCCTCCATGGTGAAGTCCGATGACGGTGTTCACCCTAGGCACGGATCACTGTGCTGTAAGCATTTCCTTGTCGCTGTGTGGTCGTTCGGGTCGTAGGCGCTTTCGTAACTCTAAATGCGGCAAATGGCACACTGACACCCCGGCTTTTGTCTCGCTTTGTGAGAAACTCGCCGAGTCCCTTGACCTTTCCATGAAGGATCTCAGCATGGCTGACATTGAACTTGCCTGCCAGCAGACTTCACGAAGGATCACCAGCTGCAGGTACAAGGACGGTCCGGAAATTCTGGACATGATTAAGCGACGCAAGGCCCTCAGAGGAGCCGATGCCAGGACTCTGGCAAAGGATATTGCTGATGCGCGCCGGGAGGCCAAGAGGGTCTGGCTCACGTCCCTACTCGAGCGCGGTGCGGAAGGTGACTTCCGAGCGCTCACCTATTTCCGTAAGCGCAACTCCGCGGCCTACACACATGGGTCCTACTGCATGAGGGCTGGAGGCAGTGTGAAGGCTATAGCGGACCTCAGAATGTTCTACCACAAGAAATTCATGAGTGCTGACTCCAATCCGCGGGGTCTAGCCATGGCCATCTTCCGACATCGTGGTGGAGCCATTACCAATCCACAGCCCTTCACCTTGCAAGAACTTCAGGACATTGCTTTCATGTGCAAGCACAACAAAAGCACGGGGGCTGATGGGATCTCTTACGAAGCCGTTCAGCTTCTCTTGCAGACCAGTTTGGGAGCAAATTTTGAGCTGTTCAATGACGTCTTGTTGGGGCTGAGACCGGTTCCTGACTCATGGCTGAGCAACCACGTCACCTTTCTTCCGAAGACGCCATCTCCCTGCTGTCCGGGCGACCTTCGCCCGATAGTCCTCTCCCCTACAGTGGCTAAGGTCTTCACCAAGGCACTCATGCTGCGACTAAGGTCACGCCAGGGTTAGATTCCGTGTGTGCCGTCCAACACGCGATAAAGCTCGCCGATCAGTATCGAAAACCATTGTTTGTGATCAAACTAGATATTTCGGCCGCGTTCGATTCCCTATCGCATGAAGCTTTAGCTGCCTTCCTCAGTCAGGCGACGGGATGCCGCGAAGCGGAGCTCTTGCTCCAGATAATAGTGTCCACAAAGGTGGTGCTGGGGATGCAAGGCACCTCCTGGGAGCAACCCCTCTCCCAGGGGGTGCTCCAAGGAAGTAGTTATTCCGCGGAACTCTTCGCACGTTGCGTGGACTTTTATCTCGCCAAAACGAGCGAGGGATGGCAGGACCATGAAGATACCTGGCTGCGCACGGCTCAGAACCGCAAGCTTTTCCTGACCCCCTTCGCAGATGACCTGGTGCTTCTTGGGTCCACCAGAGAGCAGGCACAGCGGCTTCTCCGCGATGTGGAGCTCACTCTGCAATCTATTGGGTTGCATTTCAACGCAATTAAAAGTGCAAATTTATCAAGCCGTCCTACTGTTCGGACACGCCGCTGTCACTCAACAATGGCGGCCTTGTGGAAGCCCGAGATAACATGGTTTTCTTGGGGGTCCTGCTCGGTTTTCAGCTGTCCTGTTTCGCAGTCATTGCAGCACGCGTGGCTAAGGTCAGCAATGCCTTTTGGGGATACTTTCGTGTGCTGCGGCAGGCAAAGGTTGGTATGTCCCAGAGGTTGCGAGTTTTTAATTGCTTCGTCACGTCCAGGTGGAGGTGGCTTAGTCCGGCCTTTCGGCCTCTGAAGTCTGTTCGTGACTTCTTGAAAACGACTCACACCACTTTTCTCACTTCCATTACGGGGTTCACGCGCGATCCATTTCAGTGCGCGACTGAGTCTTGGACTGCAAGACGGCGGGCGAGCCGCTTGACGGCGCAGCAAGCTGGACACTACAGATGGGAAGCCACCCATGCCAAGAGTTTCCTAGCCTACTGGGGCCATGCTGCCCGTTACGCCAGTGATGCCTGCGTGCCGGTAGTCCTAGCATTCCGCATCCGGGACCCAGAATGGCTTTTTGCGAATGCGCACCTTTTCCCAAGAGCTAAACCCGGCAGGTGCCCTGATATTAGCCGCTTTCTGCAGTTAGCTTGGGAGGCTTTCTTGCTCAGCAGGGGTGTTCATGCTGTGACGTCCTGGATTCAGGGTGCAGCGGACAGAGCGACATGGAAGGACTTCTCTGTGGCGTGGGCCACGCAACATGACTGCCTTGAGTCCCAGTTCTATTCAGGACCCCCTGAGCAGGTCGACCTTTGTGGCAGACAGTTGTTGCAGAACGGGGATTTCTACTCGCTTCTCCCGATTAGGCACGTTCCAGTCGAGGCACCCTACTCCACCTCCTTCCTGAGGCTTGACCACGGAACCGAATCTCAGGCCCTTGAGGAAGTGGCCACGGAGCACCTTTTCCGAGTCTTTTCGGACGGCAGTGCTTCTCAAAACCGAGGCACCCCGGGTTGCGGCGGGGCCGCTGTCGTTTTGCTGCCTCCGTACCAAACCATAGAGAATGCGGTGGTGAGCTACTTTAAACTCCCAGCCCCGTGTACCAATATCGAGGCCGAGCTGCGAGCTGCTTGTCACGCCATGCAGATGATCGAAACCTTGCTGTCTTTTCACCCGCAACTACAGGTGACCTACTGTAGCGACAGTCAATACGTGTTGCAACTACTTGACGGGGCATTCCAGGGGACGCATCATGCTTCGGTCACGAACGAACTCCTCTGCAGGTGGAGTAAGATCTGCTTGCAGGTTGAGGCATCGCACGTCCGTGCACACAGGGGCATTTTGCTGAATGAGGTGGCTGATCATTTCGCCAAGATTGCTGCAGCCCAGGGTCATTTCGCCAAAACCTACCGCACATTGTCGTCGTCGCATGCTCGCATCACTTCACAGGCTGATCGTGCCTTTGTGTCTTGGCTAGCCTAGGCTCCTGACTCTCTTGCTGCATCGTGCTTAGTGACGACATGACACGCGGGCTCATAACTGCATGATTCTTCAGTTTTGCACTAGCCTGCTCGCTTCTTTCAGCGGGGGGGGGGGCAGGACGGGATCGAAAATGTCAGTGCTTGCAGAATTTTGTGTCGATACACTTTGTGATTGCGCATCCACTCTCACTCCGATCTCTCTTCGTGATGGTGGAAGCCTTGACCGCGCTTGGATTCCTCGTCGGAGTCCTCTGTGGACTCTGCGGTATGGTCCTCTTTGGGCTTTTGCAGCAGCAGCAGCGAACCCCGCAGACCTTGCCTGCGACGGTCGCCACTACCGAGACGCCGGAGGCGGCAGTTTCCGCGCCTATGCTGGCTACGACAACGGCCTCACCCTCGCCACCACCAGGGCTTCCGGATCCGTCCGATTCGGTGTTACCCGACTTGCTGTGCGACTCGGCTCCGACCAAGCCGACCGACCCTGCTACGGTGAAGGTGGCGAGCCCGCGAGACACCAGTGCTCAGTTGGCTCCGGATGCATCTACTACGTCTTGTGCCCCGGTGAGCCCAGCCGTCACCGAGGATGCCTTCGAGAACCTCAAGCTTTGGATGGGAAGCGAACTTACCCAACATGTACTGCAGCCCCTCCGCAAGCTGCAGGCTGGACACAGTGAGATCTTGAAAAGCTTTCACGAGATCCTCGAAGACAAAACCAAGATGGACACCCTCCTGGGCAAGCTTGTGGAGCTCCAATCCGCCCTGGAGCGCAGCCCGGCGCCACAGGTGGATGCGCTGCAGTCCAAGGTCGACCGCTTGCAGTCCGACCTGGACAAGGTGACGAGATGTGACGAGTGCCACGCAGGGCATCATCAAGATCGAGGACAAGTTGGTGGCCAAGGTCGACGAGCTCAGTGATCTGGCGGGGCGCCGACGCGCCTACCTCGAGACAGCCACGGATGGTACCCAGGACCAGTTGAGAGGGGTCATGCGCGAGCTCCAGGCCATGGCTGCGAGTCTCAAAGACCACCGGCAGGCGATGAAGGATGCCACGACGGAGACATCGCGGCGTCACATGGAAATACTCAAAGAACTTTCGACTCTCAGCTCGAAAGTGCACAACGGGTTTGCTGGCCTGTCGGGCATAGGCAGGTCCGCCATGGCGGCAGCACAGGAGAGCAAGGACGTGGCCGAAAGGGGCCTCGAGATCAGCGAGAAGACCTTGGCGGCTGTCAGGATCGCGGGTCCCAGCCCGTCAGAGACCCCCTTGCTCGAGAAGGTGGGCGACACGCAGACTGTGCTTGATGAGGTGAAGCACAGTCTCACTGCTTTGGAAGCCTCTCTGGAGGCACTTCGCGCTCATGTGGCCAGTCCCCCGGCTCCTCCGCCGCCATATCAACCGCAGATGGTGACTCAGACCACCGTGCCGCCGCCACCGCAGCACGCACCGAACCTCGTGCACTTGACGCCGGCGGGTGGTGGTGGATGGCAAGGCCCAGGGCCGACGGCCACACTGATGGTGGGGAATCCCCAACACCTACTGAGGGCTCTTGCTGGGCAAGGTCAACTGAGTGACTGAGTGTACTCGCCTGAGTGACATGATCTGCTCCGCGGCTCACGCCAGCTAGGCTAGTCTGAAGCTTTATCTTTGTGCTGTTTTCAGTTCTATCGTGTGTGCGAGCCACAAGGAGCCTGGACTCACAGCCGTGAGTTCCTTTTGGACTGTCCTCTGCCTTTGCACTGCCTTTGGCACCTTGTATAGTACTGGTACTGCTGACTTGCCTTGACCTTGATCTTTGTGCACCGCACTGTCCTTTTCAGCCGTAGACGCCAAACAGTTCTTACTTGCGTGCACTGCACTTCTGCGAGAGCTGTGGTGGCATCATGCATGTGGCTGAGCAGAGCTGTCTAAGGTCTCAGAGTTTGTGTTCTTCAGCTTTTCGGGCTCGGAAGAGGGTCTGTTCTGGGGCTGGATGCAACATGTTTGTGCACCTGAGACCTGCCCTGTCTGATGCGATTGATCTCGCAACTCCGACCCAGCCTCGCCCAGGGCCAGTCTGTAGGTCGTTGCCTGAGGTTGTCGACAGCTCCAGCGACGAAGACTGCAGCACACCCACGCGACAACACGAACCCATGTTCCTGGCTCGACATAAGCTTCCCCACCCTGCGTATGCACCCAGGGCTAGGAAAGTGGAATTTCGTGCTTTGCAAATCCTCAAGAAACCCCGTAGCCCATGCAAGCATGACCTCCTGGAACTCTTTAGGCTCCTGCCGCCAACGGTCCTCAAGACCAGCCCACATGGCCAGTATGTGGTAGGTGGTGCTGCACCTAGGAACCACGACATGGTGCTCACCTCAACTTTGCAGTTGCCACTGTTTTCGATGGTTGTAACCAAGTACCTGACCTTTCTAAACCCACGACATGCATACACGACTTTTGTGTTGCGTCAGGGATGCTACAGCGAGGTGCATAGGGACACACGTAATGGGCCAACCAAGGCGCTCATTCAGGCCCTCACACATGTGCCTGCAGGAGAGGGTCTGTGGCTTCAGGATTCGGCAGGACTGCATGTGAAGTCTTTTAAGGGGCAGCCTCTCATGGGGACCGTGTTTGATATCTCGCATCCCTTGCTTTTCGACTCCCGACGGAGACTTCATGCAGGGCATGCGCCGACGCCACAGGACAGGGTCGTTTTGATTGCTTTCTCGACCATACATGTGAGCACCTTGTCAGTTTGGGTTAAGGGGTGCTTACTCGATTTGGGATTTCACATTCCGACCTCGGCAGACATTGCAGCAGCTAACAGGGCTAGCATGTGGGGACGCGAACCGGTACTTCGCCAGCTCACCTTACAGCAGACCCTGCACCAGCAGAGCGAGCCGCCCGAACAACGTGCACACTGGGAGGAGCATGATGTGGTGGTGCTTTTGGATGATCCCTAATCCCCGAACCCAGCGAGGCCCTAGGTTCCAGGTGTTGCTTGGCTGTGCCTTGGTCAGCAAGGGGCGTGTGTAACACACGCCCACGGTGCCTTGGTTTGCACTTGGTCCTTGCCTGCTGCTGTGCTGCTCCCTGCATGCCTGCTACTGCACTTTTGCACTGTACTGCCTTTCCTTGCCTTGCACTTCCCTTGCCTCCCCTTTTGGTTTCACCTTCTCACTTTCTGCACTGCCTCACCTTGCGTCGTCACTGCCTTCTGCACTGCTGTCAGTCGTCTGTCCCAGGTAGTCCCCATCCTTCACGAAACCACTAACCCACGCTCTCGCGGGCGCCATGGCTCTGTCATGCTGCCGGTTCCTGCAACGGATGGACTACAGGGATCTCTGGTTTCGGCTACGATGTGCAACATGCGTTACTGTACTGATCCCTGACCTGGCGCTGCGACGTCATTCTACTGGCCCTTGGGGGATGTCGAATGGGCCACCACTGCACTGATGCTTGTGAGCCTGCGGGCAACAGCTCGCTCTGCTGGCAATGTTCGTCGTGCGGAGGCCCATGGAAGAGCGCCTGGCACTCTGTACGCCAACAACACCGCGACTCCACCCGAAAACACAGCCAGCCAGGCCCTTGCCGCCCGCACTGTGTGGAGACTTGCGATGAGTGCTGCGCCAAACAAAACAATGCAGCCTGGGGGAGAGGCGTGACTCTGTATGACCAGCCTACTCATGCAGCCTGGCCAACTGGAGTTGCGACGTCCAATCAGGCCGGTGCCGGATTGTGCCTAGTCGAGCTGGGAGATGGCGACCTGCGTACTTCATGTACCCTCCTGGGGACGCCTGTGTCACATCCAGCTGTCCTGACTTGGGGCCCTGTTGATGAAGAACGAAAGCAGACCTCGTAACAAGAAAAGGGTCCTGTTGGCTTCGGGGCGGCCATGTAGGTTCTGAAAGTTTGGGAAGGCGAAAGGGTGGCTAGTACTCGTGGCACTGACTTTATGTGTTCCTGATCACCTGTTTTTGGCAGCCACTCCTCGCCTTGGGCAGTTTAGGTAGTCCGTAGCAAGTGTGAGTGATGCGCCTCTCGCCTCTCGCAGCCGGTAGTCCGTGATGCTGACTTTATTGTTTCCAGCCAGTGTCTTTCCGGGGAAGGGCTGCCCGAGGCGTTTCGCGAGCTAAGTCAGAGCGCCCGCAGCTGCTGCAGTAGTTCGTGGCCTTAACTTTATTGTTGGTCAACAGTTGTTCGAGGCAGGCGGCTAAGGGTAGCTTTCCGAGACCTTTGAACTGCTTTCTTGAGTCCTTATGCGACCGGCTGGCGATGGGAGGGTGAACCCCTGTTGCTGGAAGGTTCGGAGGGGCACAGACCTGACCTCTGTTTCCTCGCCTCGTGACAGACTTGTGACCTGCAATGCGGTCTTCGGATCAGCCAAGTGGGAGCCAAAAAATAGTAGTAGTAGTAGTAGTAGTAGTAGTAGTAGTAGTAGCAGTGGTAGTAGTAGTAGTAGTAGCAGCAGTAGCAGTAGTAGCAGTAGCAGTAGCAGAAGCAGCAGCAGCAGCAGCAGCAGTCAGCAGCAGCAGCAGCAGTAAGCAGCAGCATCCGGAGTAGGAGGAGGAGGAGGAGCAGGAGCAGGAGTAGAAGTAGGAGTAGGAGTTGTGGTAGTAGTAGTAGTAGTAGTAGTAGTAGTAGTAGTCGTAGTAGTCGTAGTAGTCGTAGTAGTCGTAGTAGTCGTAGTAGTCGTAGTAGTCGTAGTAGTAGTACTCGTGGTACTTGTCGTAGTAGTGGTAGTAGTAGTAGTAAACGCAGTGGAGGAGGTTTGGGTTTACGTAGTCGTAGTGGTAGTGGTAGTCGTATGTAGTCGTCGTAGCAGTAGCTCAGTAGCTGTTGCAGTGGTAATAATACTGGTAATAGCATGGAAGCGTGAATGCCACATTTGGCATCACGAAGCGACATGTCAGATGTGCTTCCCAGCCGAGGAACACGTCCCTGACGTTGCTCCTCGACTCCGTGCTCACGGAGGCCCTTTGAGAAATAACGCAAGAGCTGCTCGTGCTGTCCAATTTGTCCCTGCGTTGTGCCCCACCGTACCGTCAAGCGGATGGCTGTCCGTTCTTTGGGTTATTTATCGTCGCATGCGGCATGATGCAGGTATGCAGGAGACTGACAGGTGTAGCTAAACCGAGCAGATAACATGAGAGCTATGACATTGGAAAGCAGTCGTTCGTGGAGGATTTTGGAGGGTGTGGTCATGGTGTGGTTAATGTCCCCAGAGGCGGCTATCACAGTAAGCCCGTAGAGAAAGAAGGATCTCAGGGACCTTGATCGTCCTCTAGTTTCACTTTCGAAGCTGATGCCCGCCCTCTATAAACCGGCAGGAACCCTTCGAGTTCGAGCCGTACCACGAGGCGATTCGAGGCCCGCTGCGCTTCTCCGAAAACCTCACAGCCTTACCGGTGTGTCGTTCGGAAGCTTACATAAATGGAGCTAGTCGATGTGAGTGGATGCGTATGGGACCAACCCGCCGGGCAGGTCCCGAGCTGGACTTGTACAGATGGGGGAACAGCTTCTTCCGGCCGATGATCAAGTGGCGCCACGCTCATGTCGAGGCTTCCGATACCAGGTAACTTTGCGCTCAATCCACGGGATGACCTCTTCCAAACCTTCTCTTTTCGGGGATTTCGGCCCACCCAGTGGCACGTATACTGCAACACAACTTCAATAGAAGGGGTGATCATGACATGCTGCCTTCCTGTCGGTACTCCACTCATGCCACTTGCCATGGGCCCACATGCGTTCACTAGCCACTAGTCGGAATCCAACCGCACAACTTCAACAAGATGCTAACCCCTCCCCGTATTTAATAACCCCCCCAAGTATAAAGAAGGATTTTTGGCCTTTAACAATAGGGGGATTTCGGGTGGTTTCAGGTTGGATTTTCCGAAATTGGAGTCTAAAATTTTCGTCTCCCAGGCAAGGCTGCGCGTCTAACGACAAGCATGGGACAGGGCAAAAGAGCGCTAGCCTGGGAGTTGCAGTTTCGAGACAGCAATCACTCGCCCTAGCCTGGGAGTTCCGAAAACGCCACTCGCCACGTTTTAGGTGTTTTCACTCGCCTGGCCTGGGAGTTCCGTTCCGGATAGAGACAGCAATGAAACATGCAAGATATTCCCCAAGCAGGGTCCTATCCGCACCCGGTCCAACATAATCACCCTAATATTAAAAGTTCTGTTGTTTAGAATGGCCCCTGCGAATATCCAATTCTCCATGCCGGCCGTTCCAATTCCAACGCCTCATGCCGATCCTACCTGGGCCCTGATTCAACATGCCTTTAAATCTACTCATTTGGAACTTTTTGGCTCGAAACTGGAAATATTTTTGGCCGGCGAATTCTTTATATTAAGGGGGGGTTTATTAAACGGATGAAGGGATTAATTTGCAGCTGAAATGATGAAAGAGATTCTGTGTAGCCCCGGCGACTCCGGTGTAGCGATGCAGCTTCACGGTCTGCAGTGCTCGCCGAGGGCCTGTGGCCGTCAACTTTCAACCAGAAGGAAGGGCCCGTCTGGGAGGGATGAGCCGAACATGCACAGGAGGATGGGGCGGTGGGTGCAAGCCTTCCTGTTATGAGCTGCTTTGCCTACACCGTGTGGATGCAGGGCCGGGACCATCTTGAGTCCATTCGTCAAACCATTGCGAAAGGGGACAATGTTGTCTCTTGGCAGCAGAGAGTCTTAGCTTCGACCTGACAAGCCATGCAGAGTTGTATGACGTCGTTCGCTCACAGAAACGGACTTTCTAAAGGCCAACACCTTTTGCGTACTCGAGCCTTCCCGTGCCAGGCTTACATCACAGTACGATCGTCTGTATAGCGAGAAAAGCATCTGGTTGAACTAGGGCAACTAGGGGGTTGAGACCAGAAGGCCTGGCGAAATCTCAGCTTAGGCAGCGCATGTGAGAAGGAGGGATTGAAGTTGACAGATAATTCCGAAGCTTCCAAACCAGTGTCGCGCTTGAGCCACTCCAGGTGATGCTTGCAAACCACCAGACCGAGGCAGACCCGCAGGTGCAGATAATGAACATGAATGAAAGCTTAGATTTTGTATTGCACTTGTCGAGGATGGTTGAGACGTGCTGTGGAGTCCTCTGGCATACTGTGTTTGACCGTTGTCATCTGCAGGTGCTATCTCTACTACTGGAGCGAGAAGGTTGCGAAGAAGTGGCAGAAAAGTGCATCTTGCAATGACGTTTCGAACATCTTGCTGCAGCAGCCCCGCAAGTCGAAGATGCTGCAAGCAGCCATATAGAAGGGATACAGCCGAGGCATCTTTGTCGCTGGGCACAAGGCGGCATCCCATGCAAAACACAGGGCATAGCGGCAGATTGCTACAAGACTTCGATAGCGGTACCGAGTGGTGTCAGGAGTTCTCAGGTGTTCATGGTTGGCTGAGAGGTTATATGCAGAGCTTGTGGCTCAGCTGGTAGAGGTGACAACCGATCGACTGGCGATCCCCTTCAGCCCCTGAACCGCATATTGAGTCTTCCTCGTATAGTCGGCTGGTATAGCAGATATGCGCTTGCTTGTCACGTCTTCCTCATAAGTAGGCTGACGTTGGGCGACGACCTGTTGAGTTCATCATTCTGCTGGTGCTCAGTTTGATCTGCACTGCTGCGGTTTCCTCGGCAAGTTCCATCTGAGGCAAGGGCCGGTATTTGCTGTCAATCTACTCGAAGAAGTATCTGGACGAGGGAACAGAGGAGGCACGTTTGCTACAGTGCTTTTTGGGTGCAGCAAGTGCAAGAAGAAGGTAGCAGGCTCCAAACGAATTGGGCTCTTTGGAATGTCGGTCGGACAGTAGAGTTCGGTCTGTCTAGCTGCACGAAAAAGTCCAGGTCCAACAGACTCATCATGGGAGAGTTGGGGTTGGGGAACCCGCAAGCACGGAACTCCTAGTACTTCGGGAGCAATCTGAGCACGGAACTGCTTCGCTTCTCGAAAAGCCCACACCGTCCAGGAGCGCGAAGCCAAGGCCGAGCGCAACAAGAAGAGTCTCGGCAAAGAAGAGTTGTTGGGAGAGAGGTCTGAAAACTGATTGAGGGCTCTGGCTCTGGGAGCATGAGACGTCACTCCCGATTCCGAAGGCTTGCTTCTGTTAGGGAAGGAAACTTGGAAGATGCAACAGCGAGGTCACGTATTCAACACGCTGAGTCGAGAAATTCGAAGCCTGTCAACCCTTCGCCGAACAGGACAGTTTCGGAGATGCAGCGCTTGATGAAGGAGGGAGGCCGATCCAGCAAAGATCATACGCAGCCTTCGATGAGAGGAGCCATGCCAGCATCGTTGTGACATGTCATGAAGCCAGTTCGAAGATTCCGCTCTCTGAGCCAACACCCACGGAGCATTTTGCAGGCTGAGATGAAGTGAGCATGCCAGAAAGGAGCTTGGGTCATTTGCCTGCTGGCTCCCTTGCAGGCCACATCTTCTGGGTGGCACCGTCAGGTGGCCGCGACCGCAGGACTCCAAGCTATGCTTGATTCAGGGTTTTTTTCAAGAATCGGTCGCGGCTGAAGGGCTTCCTGGAAAGCCGCGAGACTCTGCGAGACACCGTGAGACTGCATGCTTAAGCTGCCTGACTGTGTGAAACTCGTCAGGCACGTGCACGGATGTTGTGGCAGCTGGAAAGCCAAAGCAAACATAATCCTCAACCCTCTCATGGCCGTCCCTTTCAATGAAGTGGGCGAAAATTCGTTGGGTCCTGGAGGCGACCGGAGACGGATCGATTCGGCCCCGCGAAGTTCGACCAGGCCCCGTATGACATTGTGTGCCACGATACAGTAGCAGGCGATCTGACACTTCAGCCAGAGCTCAGGACGGCTTACAGGTTTCCGCACGTGAATAGTAGCTGCTTACATGGCGAAGTCTAATGTTAATGTTATGTCGCACTTGGAACTCTAGGTTTCTAGCCCCTGTGAGGCCGGGCCTTATCAGGATTCCCGGCGTAGTAGACGAAGATCATGGAGCAAATCCCCGATGCGTTCGGGAAACTACACCTGCACCGGCCTCCCTTACAAACGATCTCTGTACACATGACAAGCCGCAGCCATCGACAGGAAGCTGTTCAGAGGACATGTAACCCCGTACTGGTAGGCCCCAAGCCCTGAGCGCAAAGCTTCTAAGGGATAGCTTTTTTTGGAACCTTGAAGCAGGCATCTGTGGGTCTGTTCCTGCTCCTGGCTCAGAAGGCCTGCACAGTAAGGGCAAGTGACGATTTTCAGAGACCAATGTTTGGTTTATCCAGCATGTGTGAAGCTGCAGGCTCAGTTTAATGCTTTGCTAGCACTGCAGTCAAGAGTTTAGCTTCCACTCCAAAGCACCGAGACCGGGTGACAGATTCTTTCGTAGTTTTTTTGATGCGGGCATCTAAGCCCCAAGCATTGGCTGATGGGTGGAAGATCGAATGGCACTGCTTTGTTCGGTCTCGGTGGCAGTGGTTTGGTCTTGGTCGAAAGCACTTACACCAAGAGCTGTCCAGCTACGGCAGTGTACCAGTAGCAGAGTCGCATTAGCTGTGTGGCCCTACGTGGGAGAGAGCTTGCAGATGGGTCAGTTCTGAAGTTTGGGAAACCCACAAGCAGATAGTGGGCTCGTCGAGACTTGGCTTCCAAAGTGCCAGCTCTTTTCGATGCTCAGTTCTTGGATTCTGTGTGCCCGCAACCCTCACTTGGTTTGCTGAGTGTGCCAGAGAGTTCTTGCCAGGCCGGTCGTGGTGGAGGTCCCAAAACCCATTTCTTCCCTTTGGCAATGTGGACCCACAGGCCGGAGCCGTGAGATGGGGCTCAGCAGGCTGTGCTGTTCTGAAGGGTGAGGACAACAATTAAGAATCGTCTTCGGCTTTGGCATGTTCGGCCGCTTTGCATCGTCTGGGCGTGGGCCTAACAGACCGGAAGTTTACGGCTGCAAACGTTCATTCAGACAAGAAGTCCCCGGCCCCATTTAAGCCCATCGTTTTAATTGCGTGCGCCCATCTTTTAAAATTCTGCAACCGTGACAAGGCAGGTTGACAGTCTTCTGGGGCAAACTTGTAGGATGCCGAAGTTTGGGATCGATTCTCAGCGCGGCGAGTAGGCTAGTGCCTCCGCCGGAAGATGCCAAAGCTGGAGTTGGAGAGGCGCAGCTGGGGTCAAACTAGGGTTAGCACAGCGCGCTTGCTGGCTGTACTTCAGATTCAGGATGGTGCAAAAAGATGACTTGTTCATATTTCGTTTGTCCTAGTGGCAGCTTTTTCAGAAATCCAGAGCTCGCGGATCCAGCGACTGTGTACTTCTGGGCGGTCGATTGTTCGCAAAGACCTGCGAGACTCATAGCAGTGTAACGTGCATCGTGAGAGTTTCGAGCAATCCAGAATCCAGTCCTTCAGAAATTCATGAGCTGCTTCTGGAGTGCCAACCAGTGCTAGAGCCTAGAGCTGCTAGAGTCGAGGCCTCGAGGCTGCGGAGTAGATTTCGTCTTTGAGTAGAGTCGAGTGCTACAGAAGTGACTTGAACAGAAGCTGTCGTTTGGGAGTTGCTGAGCTAGTGTACCCCGTGCCCTCTCATCGGCTTTCCCGCAAACGGTCTGGACTCTAAAGTCTTTGCAAGTTTCGAGCCTGCTGAACTGAGTGGGTCATGCGCTAGAATTCGGACTCGCTATGCCTAATCCTGCAAATGAGATGGTCCATCTCAAAGGGAGGTAGAATGCATTTTTGCTTCTTCTGCTAGTAGTAGTCTGAGTAGCTTCTCGTCCGGATAGGCACGGAGTGCAGCGAGGGCTCCGGTGGGACTGGCGTTTGGAGAGGCTGCGGGAGGTTTCTGAGATTTTCAGAGCTGTTCTCTTTGTCTCGCCGGGTTCCTGGCTGATTCTGGAGTCTAGGCTTAGCCTAAGCCGGAGATGGAAGCGTCCGTCACCTAACAGAAACTGCTTTTGTATCATTCAAGACAGTGGGCGGTCTCAATGCGTAGCCATGGTATTTTGCTAGTCGTTTTGTGGGCTTTGTGCGTCATGCGATGCAAATAGTGAAAAACCCGTTTTGGAGCCACAGTTGCCAGCAGCAAGTTTCAGACGAACTATCTAAAGGCAATGGATGCAGAACAGCTTGGCGGCCGCAAAAAGTTTCCCCCAGCCGTGGAGAAGCGTGTCAACGAGCTGTATGTGACTTGGCATGACCTGCAGCCGTACCTAGAACTTGACTGTTGGCATCTCGAGCCTTCCTGTGCCACTGACCGTGGGACCTACAAGAACTGCCGGGCAGGTGTGCCGACAGTATACCATTTGGCTCGGTACTGGTACGGTAGAACCCCATTTGTAAGAATCAGCTGCCACCGCTGAACTTTCGAACATCTCTTGAGCCGTTTCCTCCAATCGAAGATCTTCACGACCCGTGCCGTGCTGCCCCGAAGCAACCATCCACGTTCGCAGCTGATTCTAGGTCTAGTCACCATAGTCAGTCCAATCGTTTGCCGTTTGCCTGAGAACAACCTGACAGCAGATTCTGCGGCCAAGGACTCTCTGGATTCTCGGATGCCATGACCCGTGCCAATAAGTTGGTAGTCTGCACTGGTGGGTTTTAGCGCATTTGATGTGTCTGGAGAAGCGAGACACTGGCTTTGTCTTGGCATCAGGGCTGGGTCGCAGTTTCCGTCAGCAGAGCATGGTGCAATCTTGTCTCCGAGATCCCACACCTAATCTCCTGGTGAGAAGCACCTGCGCATAATGCGGATATAATGCGACGCCATCGCTGGTCCTTTGAACCCAAAGCAAGCCCAAGGCCTCTGCATCAGGGTGGACAGACATCTTTGAGACACATGGGCCTTCAACTGGCATGTACGAGCTTATCAGCTGTGAGAGTGCTGTAGCAAAGAGTATTTGGTGCCCTGCACTTCTCCACCAGCCCAGATTTTACAAAGGCAGTCTTTGCCACAACTGATGTTTTCGGCTTCGTTAGTGGGAGAGCTTGCGTTATGGAATTGCTTCATGCTGAACTGGGCCTTATCTTCTGAAAGCTCCCACTGGAAAAAGACATGGATTGCTTTCTTTAAACGTTTGCTCAGAGCGGAGCGGTGCGAGGGCCTTTCTTGCATTCTCTGCCAGAATTGAAAATGATTCGATGGGCCTGCGATGGTGTTCATGGCTGGTGTTGGCTCTGGCATCGTCATCTGCAAAAATTCGCTGGCAATAATTAGCAGCATTGCCATTCTTGCTGGGAGAGGGCTGCTGAAACCAGTTTTCCCAATGGCAGTCATTGCCTGTCTCTTGAGCTTGCCGATGCTGCGACCTGAGTTTGGTCTTGCCAAGGACACGCCCACACTCAGACGCACGCACGAATGCACATCTACAGCCGGATGGGTGCATTAGGCAGGCTGGGACATGCAGGGAGGGATAGATAGGGGAGGGGGAGAGAGAGAGGCACGGCTGAGCCCATCCAGTCAAAAGGACGGGATGGGGCCGCTCCCAGGAGCGAGGAATGGGGACTGCCCACTCCTCATGCCCCAGAGCAAAGCAAAGAGCGAGAGAGTGAGAGAGCGAGAGGGAGAGAGGGAGAGAGGGAGCGAGGGAGCGAGGGAGCGAGGGAGAGAGGGAAGGAGTGGGAGAGAGGGAGAGAGGGAGAGAGAGGGAGAGGGGGAGAGGGAAAGAGTCTTTCGGAGACAGTGCATAAGGCACGTTCGCGGGAACGCATGCGTCATCCCGGAAGGGGTGAACTGACATTGGATCGAGCGCGCCTTGTGGGGTAAGCCGTCGGGCCAAGGGCTTGTTCGCACTGCCCTTACACCCCATGCAGGCAAGCCAACAAGCAAGCAAGCAAGAGAGAGAGGCAGAGAGAGAGAGAGAGAGAGAGAGAAAGAGAGAGAGAGACTTCTGACTAGTGCTTGGTTGATTAGCCCATTGATTCGCCACAAGACACTGCACCCGGTAGCTGTTTCTGGGGAGACCGTGGATGGAAGGATTGCCCACGGTCATGGTTTAAGAGGGGTGTTTCGGGGGAGGGGTTTACTAGCACACTCAGGAGAACACGTTCCTTCTCCCAACCCCCGAAGTTGCGACACAGCAAGCGCGCAAGCAAACAAGCAACCAACCAACCGAGAAAACAAGTAGAACAACACAAGCAAACAAGCAAACAACCAAGCAAACAGGCAAGCAGGCAACCCGGCAAGCAATCAACCAAACAAACAAGCAAGCAAACAAACAACCAAAAAACAACCAGACAGACAGACAGACAGATAGACAGACAGACAGACAGACAGACAGACAGACGCGCGAGCGCGCCCGCCAACCCACCAGGCCACCCACACCCAGCCACACCCACCCACACACCCACACATCCACACACCCACACACCCCCACACACCCACACACACACACACCCACACACAGACCCACACCCACACCCACCCACACACAGACCCACACACACACACACACACAAACCCACACACACACACACACACACACACACACACACACACACAGACACACACACACACACACACACACACACACACACACACCCACCCACCCACCCACCCACCCACCCACCCACCCACCCACCCACCCACCCACACACACCTCCTGAAGAGCGCGCCATCTTGTCGGTCAGACAATGTCAGACACACGGGGCACCAAAATCAGGGTTTGGCTTCATGCGGCTTCCTTCCCACAGATATATCAGTCCGTCGGAAACAGGAGCCACGTAAGCTTCAAGACCTTTGGCACAGTTGCACAAGGAGAGTCCCAGGCGAGGCCATTCTCAGAGTCTTCAACGTAGCATCCGTCACTGAATTGCCAGCCAGCATCAGCTGCGACAACTGATCAGGTGCATTTCTTCGCGAGAAACACAGGGCTTCGTGCAAAGCATGGCTTGCTGCTAGTCGTCTATACTCGACGGTCTATGATGCAAGCTGTACTTCTTGGCAGTTGTGGTCGTTGTTAGGCTGGTTCCATAAGATAAAGAGCAGAATCTACGCGAGTTATTGAAAGCTACTGTGATCCGTTCCGATGCTTCACCTAACATCGATTGTTGCTGTTTGTTGAAATTGTTACCGTTTTTACTTTCAGGCCTTAGAAGGCTTGCCCGGAGTCTTGAAAGACTTCTGTAGTGACTAGCATGGTCGGATGGAATGTTATTTGGGTCGGCATGTTCATTGACGTAGGATAATCGTGGGGGATTGAATCAGACAAGATCAAGTTCGTGTTATATGGTTTCGGTAAAGTCGCAGGCATGGGTTTGGCCGGCTTCTGATTCCGGCGGACATCACTTCGACACACAACTGGAAAAGCAAGCATCCGCATGGGCAGCACGTGAATGCAGCGGCCGGAGACGACGGAATAGACTCAAGAGCATGCCAAACGACGAAAGCACCAGAGACATGAGGTTTGGTGAGCCACTTGCTGCAGATTCGGCTGTGTGTTCCACAGTTCTTTGGGGGCAGGCGAAGCAGCCCGCATTTGTTCGTGACCCACACCGCAATCTGAGGAGAGGCACTCGGAAAATGTCGAGTCTAGCCAGCTGACGGCTCCCGAGGGAGTGTGCAGGGCACGTCTGCTCTCGGCATTTGCTGCATGTCACAGATTCGAAATCGCCACCAGGGGCCTTCATGATCTTAGGTAGATGTGTCGCCCCCCCATGTTCCATTGGGGTCAGCTGTCAGAATACGACAACAGCAATCCTGCTCTGCATTTCGGAGGATGGCGCTGATTTCCCGCGCATACCATCGGTGAGGCTCTAAGTTTTCGCAGTCCTTCGTCTTGCAGTGAAGTTGCGAGTCATCCAAATGCCTGCGGCTCAAGCAGCGTACTCGAAGGAGCTATATAAGTATACAGGTTGTCTGCATATGACATATCATGCAGGCAATCCCATAAGAATCCTTTTCGCCAACTCATGCTGAAGCCAGGACCTGGGAAAGATAATCTCGGCGGAGGCATCGAAGCAATGCAAGCCCGTCATGCGTTCATGTGGCTTCTGTGCGAAGCTGGTGCCCTGCTACATGCCGAAAGCCCCTTCCGCGGACCCTGTGTGTCACCGTGGACTCTCGCAGGATTGGGGCACTGCGAAGGCGACGTGCATGCGCATGTGCATGCATTCCAGCCTGTGCGACCGTGGTTCCCGGCTTCCCTTACCACTTGCATTCGCAGCTGCGAGGACGCAGGCCGCACGTGTGCCTACGTTTCCTTCAAAGATGACAACCTTCTCAACCGCGACGATGACCGGGTGGGCCTCTGCCTTCTTGCAAGCCACTGCCCCGTGCTTCGCGCCACGAGTTTTGGCACTGCGACCTTTACTCGCAGAAACTATTTGCACATGCCAGAGCGCGCTGGCCCGAGAAGTCCTAGGCGCGACCTGGTGAGCATAGCGCCCACAGAGCCTTACTGTTCGCCGAACTGCTCTAGCACGAGGTTGTGTGCAACCTCAGGGGACGTCACCCTGGCAGAGACTTGCAATTTTTTCATGGACGGCCTTTTCCGATTGCATAGTGTGGCCGAAACGCCGACAAAGTTGTCAGTGGTGATCGTCACCAGAGACGAGCGGTTGTTGTGTGGGCGTGGTAGTGCAGTTCGTGCGGCAGCCACCTGCCAAACGTCTTGGGAGCTGGTATACGATTTCCCTTCAGACGGAGAGGCCGAAGAGATTTGGTTGCCCTGCGTTCAGCTACTTCATGGAGGGCGCTTCTTGGCCGTGAGCTTCGATGGAAGCCTAGTGCTGCAAGCAACAAGCAGTTCCTGCTGGGCAGTAGGCTTCGAGCAGAGGCGCATGAAGGATCAGTTGCTGCATCGCCTTCCTGAAGTGTATGACATCAACCTGCAGGATCAGACTGGGGAGGTGCCGAACTTGTGGGTGCAAGCATCACCAGCCTTTCATTACATGCTGCAGCGGTTTCTGTCCACGCTGCAGCATGCTGGCGATCCGGTGAGGGTTTGTATTCAGTGGATGCACGATATCAAAGATGTGAGCAGACAAGGATTCAATATTGTGCAAGGAGCTAATTATGTGGATTTCAAGTTCCAGAAGTTGATGCTGCAGATCGAGTCTGAGCTCGTAGCCTATTTCGCACCTCCAACACAACGCACCGTGATCTTCTCAGATTTGGATGTGATTGTTTTTCGAGGTTGGGTGGAAACCATGTTGGATTGCATCACTGGGCCAAGTGCAGCGGATGTTTGCTTTACGCAGCGGGGAGGCTTTGGCACGAACAGGAAGCAGTTCGTGAATGCCGGGGTGTATGCTGCACGTGTGGGGAATGGAGCCAGTCTTGCATGTCTGCTGGCTGAGGTGGCTAGACTCCAAAACCAGGAATTGATTGGTGACGTTCGCACGGAGCAACAGATTCTCAATTTCATCCTCCACGATGTGAAGCGTGCCGTGGCTAAATCGCATGCGACGAAGCCTTTCCGATGGGGCGTCTACAGCCCCGTGTTGGCCATCTCCGGTTTCATGGTAGCATCGACCGTTTTGTCACTACGCCTGCAGCACGTAACCGGGTCTTCGGTATCATCACAAGACAAGCTTCACATGATGGACGCCGCCGTGCTCCTACGCGGTGACTTGGAACAGTTCTGTCCGCCCTACACCGTCCGCGAGCGCGTGTCTTTCATCGGTCCGTTGAGTGCTTACTGCTTCCAGCTACTGGCCATCGACCCTCACTTTGGGCATGCTGTGCAGCCGTTTAGGGTCCTGGAGGGCTTTGGACAAGAGGACTTGCTATCTCTGACACTGGTTCTGGAGGCGGCAAACCAGTTCTGGTTTAGCCTGCTCCCAGCTGTGTTGAACCCTTTCAATTTTCATGCAGGATATCGACGTTATCGGCATGCGCGACAGAACTCTTCCAGCTTTGTTTGTGCAGAAATTCATCGGAAGCCGTGCTCGCCTATTTTTACTCCCGGAACGCTTTGACGCGGGGGCACAGATAAGCCAGCGCCCAGGAACGTAATCACAGGAGAGGCACTCCGGCTCCGGACTTTATGCAATCGGTGCATGCGTGAGCTGACGGTAAAGCATCGTTTGGATTGCGAAGGAGAGATCTACTTAAGTTTATGTATCGTTGATTATGTTGGTTCGTCATGACAGTGGACCCTTTCCCGGGCGGCCCCCTGCCTATTAGTTCTGAGCAAAGATGAAAGCCGGTCATGTGCTGTGCGGCTGGACTGAGCCACTTGGCTTGCAGTCCTGTGTGACATTCTCGCTCTCCCGAATTGTCCCAACCTAACCGCCTGGAAAATCCGCTGTAGAAGCGGAAGCAGCGGGCCTGATCTTGTTGCTTCTGCCCTGGCTCTGGCTGGGTTGTTCGGCCCAGGCGGCTTCCCCTTCAGAGATGAAGTTTGTTCGGTACAACGAGTCTCACGGCAGAGAGTGATGTCTTCTGTCGATTGTATCGGTTGCGTAGCTGATGTTGGCTGTTGGCTTTCGATTTTTCCTTCGAGCTCGGACCTGCCTCTAGTGCATTCGTCGTCGCAGCCCTTCGCTAAGGCTAGGCAATTGGCAAGACATCGCACTTAGCTGTGATAACCCTGCTTGTATCTAATTGACCTAGTTGACTATGTGGGCGTCGTCGGCCTTAGGACGACGACTTTCAGTGAGTTGAGGCCAGAGTGGCCGGATTCAGCAAATCGCCGCAACATTCAACAAAGAGAGTCGCAAAACACACGGCCAAATGTCAGAAACAGAGAGGCCAGTGGGAGGCCTCGAATCAGAAGTCCAAAACAGGGAGGCTGCATTCATCCGATTTTGCCTGTGTCTTAAACATGCCCCTTGATGTGGCGATTCCGATTCATCATATATCTTAAACACGTCCCCTCGCCCCTTCTCGCTCCCTCATTAAGCGATATCTCAATCAAGCACGCCCCCCCATTTGGCGAATCCGGTTCATCATAGATCTTAACCACGCCCCCTCGCCGTCTCACTTCGCGACTGCGGGTCATCATATGTCTTCAGCACGCCCCCTCATTTGGTGATTCCGGTTCATCATAGAGCTTAACCACGCCCCTCGCCCCCTCATTTTGCACTTGCGGTTCATCGCATATCTTAAGCACGCCCCCTCATTTGGCGGTTCATCATATGTCTTCAGCACGTCCCCTCATTTGGCGATTCCGGTTCATCATAGATCTTAAACACGCCCCCTCGCCCCCTCATTTTGCACTTGCGGTTCATCATATATATCTTAAGCACGCCCCCTCATTTGGCGATTCCGGTTTCTCATATGATCATATATGTTAACATGCTCCGTCAGTTGGCGGTTCCGGTTCATGCTACATCTTACACACGCCCCCTCATTTGGCGATAAACAAGTGAAACTAAAAAGGCAGTGAACATAATCCCACAGAAGAAGTACAAATTTTGGTAGGTCATGTATTTGAATCAAGCCCCCTCATCTGGCGGTTCGGACTCATCAGATAAATCATATATCTTAAACACGCCCCCTCGTCTGGCGATTCCGGTTCATCCGATATCTTACACACGGTCCCTTATATGGCGATTCCGGCTCATGACATTTCTTAAACATGGCCCCTAGTTTGGTGATTCCGATTCATCATATATTTCAAGCACGCCCCCTCATTTGGCGATTCCCGTTTCATATATCTTAAACAGGTTCATGGCCGATTCTTCACATGTCCTGGACAGGCCCCCTCATTTGAAGACTCGGAATCGTCGTATATCTTAAACACAGCCCCTCGTTTGACGATTCCGTTTCATCATATATCTTAAGCATCCCCCCTCATATGGTGATGCCGGTTCATCGCATATCTTCAACACGCCCCTGCCATTTGGCAGCACTACATTTCGAGGGGCAAGGGGCAACCTCTTCAAGTCTGCAATTTGTTCCGTGGGTGCCTCCGATAGTGGCCGTGAGTGTTTCTGACCGTGTCTATTGTGTTTGTGACTGGTGTCCGGGTTGTTTGCTGACCGTGGCATTTGTTTGCTGACCCCGGCCCCGCCCTACCAGCCAGGGTCACACGTGGTGATCTCGGTATTTAGTCATTTAATGTGGTCCGGATTCTGTACATGCATGCGCACACACACACATGTGTGGAGGCACCTTGCCCTTCGTACTGACATTGATTTTTCAGGCCAACCTAGACTTCATCATGCTGGAAGAGGCCGGTATGCATCTTTGCATGTTCGCAGCGGCTGTACTATCGCGGCACAACATGCGAGCCGCTACTGTTGGAGAATGCTATGCCAGCAGCTGTTACATTCTGCAACACCCTCCTCGGCTCCAAGCGGATGTGTTCAGCATTTAGTTTCCTGAAATCTGAGAACCATGCCAACGAGACCCACAAGCCAGTGTCATCTTGGCCAACGACTCCGAAGCAAAGCCTCAAGCAACTTCGGCCGAGCACCGCGAGAGAGCATTCCTGAGGCCCTTACATCCCCGTCACTGTAGGAAAACCAGGAGAGTGGAGGGCTAGACGGTTCAGACACGATTCTCGGAAGTGGGACGCGAGGTTTTAGGTGGGGTTTGGGCTGTCTTGATGGTGGAATCCGACAGCAAGAAAGGCCCATGTTGTAGCTCAGATAATTTAAGGTAGTATGTGTCTGCACGTGAGTGAATAATGTGACCATGTGCATGTGTATGCACCACCCCTTTATTATCCCCTCTGGACCCTGCGGCGCTGCCGTTTGGGTTCTTGGTCCCCTGGTTTCTTTGTTTGCGCTATGTCGGGGTCGATGGATTTGGTGTTTGGCTTGTTTATCATACCTACACAAACAAATAGCTGCACCAAACAGCAGAGACAAAAAACACGACCGAACCGTCTCTTGCAACGTGCCCCACAAGCCACGACGGCCATGAAGATGACTTCGTCCCCGTGTGAGATGCGAAGTTGCTCCGCGTCTCGACTTTTGTGAATTCACGAGGAACGCAGCTCTTTACCCCAATGACGGTTGGAACTGTTTGACATCGCGGCGACGACCCCAGCCTACGAAAACGACGACTGTGACGGGATCACGCTTCCATTTTTGGGGGTTGGGGGCCAGGGGCCCGGATCATGCATGCGGTGTGTTTGTTTGTTTGTCTGTCTATCTGTCGATCTACCCATGTATTATACTTACCTTCCCTAAACCTACACCTACATGTTTACCATTATTTACCTGTAGGTCTGTCTTTGTCGTCTGTTTCTGTGTCTGTCCGTCTCTGTCTGTCTCTGTCTGTCTGTCTGTCTGTCTGTCTGAGCGTGTCTGTCCGTGTCTGTCTGTGTCTGTCCGTCTCTGTCTGTCTCTGTCTGTGTCTCTGTCTGTGTCTGTCTGCGTCTCTGTCTGTCTCTCTCTGTCTCCGTCTATCCCTGTCTGTTTGTCCGTCGGTCTATCTATCCATGGATCCATCGATCCATTCATCCGTCGGTCTGCCCATCCAACTATCTATCTATAGTCTACACGTGTGTATCTATATCTGTGTATCTGATTGAATTGTCGACCTATCTTCGATCAGCCTATATCTGTCACTCCCCTATCTGCATGGATGTATGCATGCATGCATGATCATGCATGTATGTATGTACAGATGTACGCACATATGCATGTGTGTGCGAACGGATGCCTGCATGTATGCATAAGGTAGAGATATGCGTGCGTGTGTGCATAATGCGTATGTGGCTGCATCTACGTACGCAAGTACAAATGTAAGTATATTTCTTATGGGGGAGCCCCCCGTGTTCCGTTCTTTAGGCTCGCAAGGGCTTGGGATCTGTGCCAATGCCGCTTTCTCACCTTGTGTCGGCTTTTGCCAGCTCCTTCGAAGAGGCGGCTCCAATGCAGGAGCCTATGCTTGCCTGGTCGAGTTCGAAACTGTATGCCGTGCAAGACAGCAACCAAGTGCTTCCCGTGCCACAATACGGGAACAGCAAGACCTGCTCCACATATCGGAGGATGGCGCTGATGCGGAGGCCCCTCCCGCTCCTCTGTTCCGGAAGACCTACAGCCTCGATGCAGAACCCTTCGAGGCCTTGCCAGTGGTTGCCGTCATGCTGACAGCAAGCACTACGGTTGGCATGCCGGGGTTTTAAGCTGTGTTGCCCGAAAGTCGAAGTCTCTTAGATATAGATACATGCAGATGTCCGTCCTGTCGCCTGCTCAGGCATGACAGGGGATTTAAGGTCCGTTACAGAACTGCTGCGCTATGGTGTTTTTTCTATCCATGGGGGACACTTAATGCAAGAACAACTACTGTCGAATTGAAATCTACTGATAAATCCATGATGGCTCCGGTCGTACTCCGGGAGAACTGTGCATCGTTAGCTGTCGGGTGTGCTTGCGTTGTGCAATACTAGCTGTGAGAAATCTCTCAGATCACCAATTGGGCGTCAGACCACCGCCTGGAGCTACCTTTCGATGCCGCTCGGACTAGAGAGGGGTTGGACACACTTGGTGAAGTCGGATCCCTGGGGCAGCGCCACATCAAGTGAAGCTCTCATCCTGTGAGCTTTGCCCGTGTTTTTACAGTTTACAGGTTGCAAGCCAAGGACCCTGCTCAGCCCGTCTATCGGTGGAAGCTGCGATGCTGGTCTTCTTCGTGCACGGGGCCGGCTTACATTTACTCCCCAGACTACACACTGGAGCGGTCGGTGTGGGTGGGATTTGAGGCCTTCAGAGATTGAGAATTGTGGTAGACATGGTCAGGGGATGACAACAGGTGAGGGTCGTTCCGGTCTGACTGGCAGGTTTCGAACAGAATGTATGGCAGGACGGGGTCACCAAAAAAGTCAGACCAAGTCAGTGGAAGAGTGAAACTGTGTTCTGCCCCACACAGGAGCCCCAGTATCAGCACGTATCAGCCTGAAGCTTGCGGCCCGAGACATGTTCGTGATGAGAAGTTCTTCTTTCGGTTTTCACTGGGCAACCTCGGTGAAGACTTCGCGCGCTTGTACACCGTTGCAGGAGGTTGCAGGGGGCAAAGCATCCCCGCGGCTCATCTTGTCGCTGGCCCGCATTGAAGAGAGACAATACAACAATTACGACAACCTAGGGGAAAGAAGGCTTGCTAGCCTTGCCAACACGTTTAGCTGCATCACGGGCCATTTGGCGTCGTATACAGCCTGTTACTCGTCACTGGTTACGGATACATCCGTGTCCAAAGCTGGCAAGCGAGAGTACGAGCATAAGTAATATTTCAGTTCTGTGTGTTGCGTTGATTGAATCAGTTAGTCATTCATTACGTGGCTGCGGCTCGAGCCGTCTGCTCGAAGGAGCAATATAATGGACATGTCAGCTGCATGCAGACCCTTTTCTCGATTGTCCACATCTGACACATTGTGCAGATATCCTTTCAGGCCTTATACCAAGACATGGGCCATAATTAGCCACTGATGCTGAAACCAGGATCTGGAAAAGATAACCCCGGAGACATCGAAGCAATGCAAGCCCGTCATGTGTTCATGTGGCTTCTGTGGGAAGCTGGTGCATTGCCAGATGCCGAAAGCGCCTTCCAGGGACCCTGTATGTCACCGTGGACTCTCGCAGGATTGGGGCACTGCGAAGGCGACGTAGATGCGAATGTGCATGCATTCCAGCCTTTGCGACCGTGGTTCCCGGCTTCCCTTACCACTTGCATTCGCAGCTGCGAGGACGCAGGCCGCACGTGTGCCTACGTTTCTTTCAAAGATGACAATCTTTTCAACCGCGACGATGACGCGACGGGCCTCTGCCTTCTTGCAAGCCACTGCCCCGTGCTTCGCCCCACCATTGTTGGTGCTGCGACTTTTACTCGCAGAAACTATCTGCACGTGCCGGAGCACGGTGGCCCAAGAAGTCCTAGGCGCGACCTGGTCAGCCTAGCCCCCGCAGAGCCTTACTGTTCGCCGCACTGCCTTAGCAAGCGGTTGTGTGCAACCTCCGGGGTCGTGACCCTAGCGGAGGCTTGCGATTCACTGATGGATGGTTTGTTCCGGTTACGTAGTGCGGTCGAAACGTCAACACAGCTGTCGGTGATGATAGCCACCAGCGACAGGCGTTTGTTGTGTGGGCGTGGTGGTGCCGTGCATGCGGCCGCCACCTGTCAAACATCTTGGGAGCTGGTTTACGATTTCCCTTCAGACGGAGAGACCGAAGAGATTTCGCAGCCTTGCGCTCAGCTGCGCCATGGGGGGCGCTTTTTGGCCGTGAGTTTCGATGGCCGCGTAGTGCTGCAAGAGAAAAGAGGTTCTTGCTGGGCAGTGGGCTTCGAGCAGAGGCGCATGAAGGATCAGTTGCTACACGGACTTCCTGAAGTGTATGACATCAACCTGCTGGATCAGACTGGGGAGGTGCCGAACTTGTGGGTGCAAGCATCACCAGCCTTTCATTACATGCTGCAGCGGTTTCTGTCCACGCTGCAGCATGCTGGCGATCCGGTGAGGGTTTGTATTCAGTGGATGCACGATGTGAAAGATGCAAGCAAAAAAGGCTTTCAGGAGGTGGAAGGGGCCAGGTACATGGACTACGCCTTCCAGAAGTTGATGCTGCAGATCGAGTCTGAGCTGGTAGCCCACTTCGCGCCGCCAAAACAGCAGGCCGTGATCTTCTCAGATTTGGACGTGGTTGTTTTTGGTGGTTGGGTGGATACCCTGTTGCAGTGCGTCACTGGGCCAAATGCAGCGGACGTTTGCTTCACCCAGAGAGGGGGCTTTGGCACGAACAAGCGGCAGCTCGTCAATGCAGGAGTGTATGCTGCACGTGCAGGAAACGGCGCAAACCTTGCGCGTTTGTTGGCTGAGGTGGTGAAACTCCAACACCAGGACCTGATTGGTAAATTTCGCACCAATCAACAAATCTTGAATCTCGTCCTTCGCGATGTGAAGCGCGCTGTGGCTAAATCGCAAGCGACAAAGCCTTTGCGGTGGGGCGTCTACAGCCCCGTGTTGGCATTCACAGGTTTCATGGTGACGTCGACAGTACTTTCGATACGCCTGCATCACGTGACCGGATCCATGGTCTCGACGAAGGACAAGCTTCGCATGATGGACGCTGCCGTGCTCTTGCATGATGACTTGGAGCAACTTTGTCCATTCTACACCGTCCGCGGGCGCGTGTCTTTCATCGGTCCGCTGAGTGCTTACTGCTTCCAGCTGCTGGCCATTGACCCTCACTTCGGGCATGCTGTACAGCCGTTTAAGGTCTTGGAGGGCTTTGGAGAGGAGGACTTGCAATCTCTGACAGTGGTACTGCAGGCGGCAGGCCAATTCTGGTTTAGCCTGCTCACAGCGCTTATTGCACGTTTCAACTCGCAGGGAGGATATCGACATTATCGGCAAGTGCGACGAAACTCGTCGGAGTTTGTTTGCACGCAAATCCATCAAAAACCGTGCCAGAGCAGATAAATGTCTGGTTCGAGTCGCCCTTGGATGGCAGAGAGGGGCATGGATGCTTAGAGGCGACAGCTAAGACGGAAAGGATGGCGAGAAATCAGTTCCTACAACAAGCCGACTTGTTTGTTAAAGCGATAAGCAGACAGAGAGAGCGCGAGAGAGATAGAGAGCGCACACTCCCCACGTCGTATAGAGGGAGAGCGAGAGAGAGTGCGTATGTGTGGGCGATGGGGTTGGTTGGAGATGCGTGGTCGCATGGTCAATGCCGGCTCCACCGTTGATCTGTTCCGGTGTGTGCGTGTGTGCAGTGAAGCCTGCCCAGATCTGCTGGGACTTGAGTTGGGGACTGGAGGCCATTCATTAGGCGTCGTGTTTCTTGTGCGGGCCCACGTAGTTGCTGCAATCATCCGCAATCCGCGAGCGTTGGCTCTGGGTGCGCGTGGGCAAACAGCATGCCATACCTCGCACGGTGCCAGAAGGAGAATTGAAGAATATTGAAGATGCACATGGAGAGAGCATAGTTCGTCTGGCTTGGAGTTCAGCCCAATTCGCAATCTATTGCAGCTGTCTGTTCGGGAGGCAGCGGCCGCACAAAGAACCGAACGACGAGCCACAGCCGCTGCTGCAGTTGACTCCCGTCATGCATTTCTCAGATATGTAAAGGCATATTTTATATCGAATCACAGCATGTCAGATCACGCACTTCATGCCAAACGATAGCAAATCATAACGAGCCAGACGATACTGTACTCTGCCATGCTGTATCATACCATAGGATTGCATATGATATCATACCATGCCTGATGTCATATCTTATAATACGCTAATTGAAGCAAGTATAGATGAGTATAGATGTCTACATGTATGTCTGTATGTATGTATGTATCTATGTATGTGTGTATATATATATATATAGATGTACAGTGTATATTCACATACATAGGTATGTATTTACTTATACACATTCATAATTTATGTATATGTTTATATGTAGCAGTAGAATATATCAGCGGAGCATGATGTAATACGGTGTAGTACACCTAGCCTGGTCTCAAGGATCTGCCTTTATATGCTTTATGTTAAGAGCAGAGAGCTGCTTCGCACAGCACCATGTATAATCATCAGCCGTGCATATCGATTTGTCATCACAGTAGCAGCGCTCACATTGAAGCATTTACAGCATTTGTCAGATTACGGCACTAGGCGGTAACAACTGCGTGAGCAGCGTGTGGCATGAAGACAGGAAATGATCTAGGTGCGAAGCATGCTGTAGTGGGTCGAAGCAACCTCGCGACATGAGGCATGATTTTTTGCAACGCTCCAAGGGCTGCTATAGAAAGATTGCAGAGCTTTTGTGCCGGTACCGTTGCCGTACCTGTCAGCTGGATCGCGGCGGTAGTATTGTTGTCAAGCAACAATAAGATTCTTCTCAACCGTGCTTGCGCATGAGCAGCACCAGACGCATGCCTAATGTTTCCATGCTACATGACAGCAATGCGAAGGTTGCTCGGATGCCTGTATTATTGATGGTTTAATGAGGCAGCAGTGTTAGCAATACTTTTGGTATCGCTAATACGGTTCGGTATGTGAGCAGTTTGGGGTACGTAGGTAACCTTACTATCATGACGAACGCAATATGGGCATTACTTATGTGCTGCACTTTCGGAGCATGCAAGATGCTGGTCCTGATGCGTCATTGGTAGTACTCGCACTATGACTGGCACTTGACTTGACAAGATATTTGCAACACTGGCAAATCTGCTGGTGACAGTAGCAACAGTAGTGCTACCTGCAGTGTTCGCGGCGCTGGCACCACTGGCGGTTGCAAGATCATTTGTAAGGTTACCAGCACCAGTAAAACTCATAATGACAACGACAAGACAGACGCCGGCGCCTGTGAAGAATCCAGCTGTACTTGATATGTCCGGCGAATGGATGTGTTTTCTTGCTACTGATGGGCATGTCTAGTTCATCAGTAATTCGTGCGCGATCAGGCATAGTATCAAGACAAGAAGAGTTAGTAACAACTTCAGTTCAATGCTACCCACACTAGTCAAACCATGTCAAACTAGTCAAGCTACCACGAGTACAGGCTTTGGAACATTACTCGCACCTGTACTAGTGGCAACATGGCGAACAGCAACAGCAAGCCTTGACATGTTGGCAATGCGGCCATACAAAAAAGTACCGGACCCGTATCGGGCTTGTGAAAGGTTGCAGTTGTGAAGTTGCCTTGTATATCCACAGTCGTATCTAAACCACTGCAACGATCACGCGGCGCAAGAAAACTAGTGCTCTGGGCATATGGTCGTGTGTCTCACTGTGTCGTTTCCAGTATATTCTTGCCCCCCTCAATGGACTACTCAAACTCAAACCACCTAGAATAGAAACACGACATACAGAGGATGACACGCAAAGGGACACAATATGGCACCAGCATGCCATTGACATGCCATCCTGAACAGGGCTTACTAGTTGTACCGTGCCCAAGACCTTCCAAAAGCAGCGGAACCCGCACAACAGGTGCAAGTTGGATATTGTGAACATCCAAGATTGCATCGCAGGTGGCATATACAATACACGAGATCACATACTTATAAGCAGCATGGGGCCAAATTGGGCGTTAGGGTCCTTGCCACCTACATATATATATATATATATATATATGTATATATATATAATAGACAGATAGGACCCCCTTCCCCATTGGTTTCCGGAATTTTCCGGACGCCGCCCTCCCCTACCCCCCTCCCTACCCCCGTGAGATGTAACCTAGGCGTGTGTCCCCTCGCTACAGGAACACAGGCTCGCAGGAGTTTCTTTATTCAGGTGCACAGGTGTACTCTGCTAGAACCTTGAGCAACAGGCATGGATACAGGCAAGTGATATGTGAAACAGACAGGCGCCTGGATGTGCAACACTCAGTGTTTCAGCAAGGCAGAAGTTTAAAACCATGTAGAATTGCATGGCCGTGAAGTCGGCATTCTAGTTGGCTGTTATTGCCCAAGTGAAGTATTGGCGGAGCGATTGGACTACATCTGTAACTTGCGAGAGTCTGTACATCTCAGCCTGGAGACATAATATATGAAAAGCAGAGCACGCACACGAAGAGTAAAGGGATCTTCGGTAAAACTTTTGCTCGGAAAATGCCCACATGTTCAGTTTCGTCTGCAGATGGAAAGCTCAGCTCCACTTGGTGGCAGTTATGGCATTCTCCGCCTTGAGAAGTCACCAGTCTTTGATGAGTATCTTAGCCTGAGAAAAGTATCTCGTTTTGTCTTCTGACAAGGTTCTGAGGAAGTACCTTCTCCTGAGAAAAGCATCTTCCTATGAAATGACAAGGCACTCAAAAAGGATGTCTTCTCCTGTGAGAAGCATTCCGTGAAAGAACTTAGTCCAAAGCTTCGACATCATGATCCGTTCACCAATCCACTGGTCAAGCTGAAAAATGACAGTGATCGGTGCGTGGCGAACTGGATCGAACGGCGTAGGATGATGGCTAGGTGCTCGAGGAACTTCATCCGGATCTCGAGGGGCTGGACCATATACCGGCGATTCCGACTCGGAGTCAGAACCTAGTATATATACATATAGATATAGATGCACAGCTTTACATAATATGTGCACCACACACATATACACAAATGTATACACACATATATATATATGTATATTCATACACATTACAAATATAATGCACTACTACATACGTATGTATATATATATATATGTACATACGTACATACATACATATATATATATATATATATATATGTGTGTGTGTGTGTCTTTTGTTGGATACGGCGGGCGGCATGTGCACATTTACACGTCCTGGCTCCTATGCCAACTAGACAGATCATCTTGATCCCATCAACGTAAGTGCATGAGAACACGACCAAGACGAGGCGGTTCCAGTGGTTGTGCTGCAAGATTCGATAGTCCCAGTCTTGCATCGCCCTTTTGAGGTTCGTGTTCGAAGATCGGATTGACACGTGTCGGTGAACTGATTTGGCCGTTGCGTTCTGTGCGTGTAAATTTCAAGTGGTAGAGTCTTCCGGGGAGTCGCTCACTGATAGTTGCAACTGACTCAGGCTTGACCAGCACAAGCTGGCTGACATCGATTGCTCCACGGACGGAGTCTTGACACTCGCCTTTAGCAGCAGCAGCTAAACAGCCTATGCACTTGGGTTTCACTGGCCGGTGTCTCTGTGTGCAGACGTGGCCCTCCACCATTGCAGTGTGACATGTGTACTTCCACGAGAGTGTGCAGCCAAGGACGCCATTTTGCAACATGTGCATGCGGCTGGAGCCCACAGCGGTGTGCAACGATCAGCTCCTCGTAGACCTGAAGTTTGTGGCTCTACTACGCTTGCAGAGAGACGCCATCGAATGAAGGACGTTCGGTATAGCGATCCATTGCAGCTGGGCACATGCGTGCTCCTGTCATCCCAGGAACTTCTGCCAGCCCAGCTTGAACAACTTTACAATCCGCACCACCTGTCCGAGACCAAAGTATCTCACGGAAAGCGGCAGCTTGGACTTCCGATACGTTTTGTTGCGCTTGCTCAAAGCCAACATCAGTCAAAGCCTGCTGCGGAAACAACAGCAACACTGTCCACGCATCTGAACCACGACATGGTACGACAGAAACCCCGCTGTCTCGTTTGGAATTTGTACGGCAAAGCCATTATTGGTATAGGCCTCTAATTTGGTGGCAGCCGCACTGGCAGGATAAGTTCTCCCAGAGTGGTATACTACAAAACCGTAGCTGTAGGTTGTCTTTGTTTCGGCCTGATTGAGGAAGGTGATGATCCGCACACAGCCGACTTTTCAGCGGGCACGAAGAGCAACAAGCGGCTGCAGCTTCCGAAGCTTCCGAAACAGAACCTGCAGTTCACTGCAGCTTAAAATCAAAAGAAGCTGGCAGACCTCGCAGAGGTCTCAAAATGATGAATAATCGGTTCCCATACAGGTCGTAGCCCCACAGGTTTGTATGTCGGCTGTTACGAGTCAAGCCTCCAAGCTCGTTCGCGACCAGAAGCTGGTCCGGAACGAAACATGACTTCCAGAATTCTCCAACTTTCTGAGCCCGAAGCCACCAAAGGGGTGCACGAAACTGCAACAATGACAGAGTCTCTGTGCTTCTGCAGCCGCAGCCGCATGGTTATACTGGTTATACTTTGTTTCTCGTTCGTGTGGCTCGTCATCAGTCTGTGTAGCTTCTTACCTCCCGTGAGCTTCCATGCCAGATATTGCTACTCTTGGAGCCGAAGGAAGGGCCACCGTTCGGACTCTAGGCTCCCCAACCCTTGAAGCTTGCTGATCCAAGATGGGAACGTATTCTTTGCACCCCGAAGCGACGGAGACGAGCGGCTTTGCGATTGAACTATTATCATGAGGTTACTGGTTCAGACTCGTAGGATGGATGGGTTCATGGGCATGCTTGCATATGCTTGCCGGTTCAAGGGTCGGTCGACATTCAGGGAGAACATGCCGAGTCGCTTGAGTGTGACCTGCCCATAAAGGATTCTACATCTTTGTAAAGAAGGCACCCTCAAATAGATCAACAAGTAAATATGTGGGTGTATGTATATGTACAGTCCTGCAGAGACCTCGCCCGATTCGTCGAGTGCGAGTGGCAAAAAATTGTACATATACCTACGTGAACTCGGAAAAACTAAAAAAACAACCCTCCACATAGTTTATTGGGTCACTGCATGTGTCAATCTCAACTCTTTGCCGACAGCCACGAGAACGTGCAATGCACGCACTGCTTCTACTGCTACTACTACTATTACTACTACAGCAACTACTATAACTACGACTACTACTACTACTACTACTACTACTACTACTACTACGACTACTACTACGACGACTACTACTACTGCTACTACTACTGCTACTACGACTACTACTACTACTACTACGACGACTACTACTGCTACTACTACTACTACTACGACGACGACGACTACTACTACTACTACTACGACTACTACTACCCCTTCTACTGCCACTATCACCACCACTACTGCCACTGCTACTACCACCATGATTATGATTACTACTACTACTACTACTACGACGACGACTGCTACTGCTGCTACGACGACTACGACGACGACTACTACTACCAATACTGGTCACCACCACTACGACCACCACCACCACCACCACCACCACCACCACCACCACCACGACTACTACTACTACTACTACTACCACTACTAAAGACGAACACTGTTACTACTGCGACTACTTCCAATATTTTTTCACGACGGTTGGCAGGGTGCCCCTCAGACTCATTGCCACATGAGGCAGCGCTGGCGGTTGTCTGCACCTTTGGGTGCGTTGCCACCGGAACAGAGCTTCGACTTTTTGTGAAGTGCAAAACTGCATGGAAGCTGCATTGAAAGGCGGGCGGCATTGATGCATGCAAGCGTTTGCGTTGCTTTGTCCTTGTCTGTCTGGTTTGGTGTGTGGAGACACCATAGAACGGCCAAATTGCCAAAGTGCTTCCTGACCAACAATTCCTTTACTGAGCAGTCCTCCGCTCTCCTGCTATGAGCGACGGCTGCAGCAAGACGTGCGCGGCCCTACTTCCAGCCGTTTTGAGCCCAGTTCACATGTCAGCTGAAGAGGTTCATGTGACACCACAGAAACGCGTCAAGAGCTTGATAACGCTTTGCCTGGCCATTACGAAGACACGGTCAGACTTGTGTGCCCGTAGGTGTGAATGAGTAAAGTTGCATGCAACATGTTTAGCAGCAGCCATAGGGTCGTGCGCTATCTTTGCCATGTCCCACATTTTCGGATGCAAGCAAACTCCACCGACGCCCCCGACGACCAGCGATGAGGCCAGCAACCGTGATCCATGACCCCCAGGCCAAGAATACTCACAAGATGAATCATTGCTTCCTGCATGCCCGATGGCCTGCCACATGCCTGACGCCCGAAACTCAATCCAAAATGATCTTACCGTACCTTCCGCGCGTGCTTTGATTAAGACTTGTCCATAGCCTCTGGTATTTGCTGTAGTCCGTCTCTCTTGGATCGAAGTTAAATTGTGGGTGTCATGGACGAAAGATGCCTCACCACCGCAGAATCTACGTACAGGAGAGTTCTGGAAGCACCAGCGATGCGGAGATGAAGAAGAAGAAAGGCAATCGAGCTATGGGCAAAAAGAGCCTCAGCAAACAAACCGCAAGATCCTTTTCGTAGCCTGAATGCTGAAGTCTTGTTTGGTTAGCTTGCTTCGACGGGTTTCATACAATTCAGGGCTTTCGACATCTTTCGAATTCTTGCATGGTTGCATGTTGGTCCATGTTGGTTCTGGTGGCAACATGCAGGGCGGGATTTTGCAGACCAACTTCCAGCACGGCACTTCGCCCCGCCTGATTTGGAGTTTCAAGCTGCAGGAAATTTCCGAAAGCTGTGAAGTACTACACCAAAGCGATCAAAATCGACCCAGAGAATGCGACCTGGTCAGAAGGCTAGGTCCAGAGGTCCGGTCCTTTAGACTTCAGACATTGCTGTGTCAAGTCTCGGGTTTGTGATTCGCATTCCTCCGTGCCGCCAGTGCTTCAGCACAAGGTCGGACCACAAATAGACTTGCACACTTCTTGGCTAGAGGCCACCTACCATCTCAACCGGGCCATTGCCAATGCAGCACTGGAGCTCTGGAAAGATGCCGAGGCAGCATGGTCCCCCAGCGTTGGAGCCATTTTGATAAAAAGAGAAATATTACAAGTACTAACTAAACAGGTTCAGCGTTCGCGCTATGCCTCCTGATATTCTGGCCTGTTTTTTGGTGCCCTTGCATGGCGAGACACTTGATGAAGGCACGGCAGAGAGAGAGAGAGAGCCTTTGTTTGCCCGTAATGCTGCCATGCTGCCAGTTGCCTCTGTGGCATGTCGATCCAACTTCGCGCAGTATACTGATGATAAGTTTATCTAGCGGATCTTCTTTGCCTGTTTGGAATGCAGTTGCTGAGTGATGAGCTCGGTCTTTGTGACTGACCAGAGCCGTGGTTGGAGGACAGCCATAGTTTCTCCTCCGCAACAGTCGGGGGCGCACACGCGCGCGGTGTAGGGGGTCCAACCCCTACACCATAGCCCTGGCGAAAGAAAAGAAAGAGAGAGAACTAAACAGGTCGGCACGAGCCTCAGCCATAGGGAGACGTAAGCATGAGTGTTGCCCAAGTTGCGGGAATGAGTTTATCGTTGATTTTGAACCTTCCGGATTGAGAAGACAGTGTGTGGCAGTCGTTTACACCCTTTGATGAAATTTTGTGGAACTTGTTCTGTGGGCGTGGTCGCCTGTGAGTGCTCCTGCTACCTGCCACAGGGTCCGGATAAGTGGCACGGGTTTTGGATGTAAGAGTGATGTATATAAAGTTCCATGGTTTGGCTGCGGACTGTGCAGGTCTTGGAATGCCCAAGTCAAAAACGGACTCCGTCCCGACGGAAATCATGCACACCCCCACATCCGTACATGACATACATACAGTACATACATACATACATACATACGTATTTACATACATACGTACCTACACACACGCACACACGCATGCATGCATGCATGCATTTATATTAACACTCATATATATATATATATATATATATACATATAATATACATATATATATATATATATATATATATATATGGTACCCCCCTCCCATGTACCCACGCCCTTCTTCAAAATCCCAGTTTGTCCGTGGGATCCCCTTTGTCCCCAAGCCTTTCTGCTGAATACCAGGTTCGGGATGGCGCGGGAGTTTGAGTTTGGGGACAGTGCGTGCAGATTGTAACTTTACTCTTTCATGTCCTTGGCGGGTTCCCTCCAAAATAGCCCCGAATCATCCGAATCATGTCCGAATCATTTTGATTCGGGCTCGGCGCTGGATCCAAGATCCAAGATTGCCCAGAGGTCTTGCGTGGGCAATCTTGGATCCGACCCTCACGCGAATCATCCGAATCATTTTGACTCGCGCCCGGGCCCCGATCCAAGATTCAAGATCCAAGATTTCCCAAGGGTCTTGCCAGGGAATCTTAAATCCGACGCTCACCCATTGGATCCAAGATTCCCTGGCAAGACCCCTGGGAAATCTTGAATCTTGAATCTTGGATCGGGGCCCGGGCGCGAGTCAAAATGATTCGGATGATTCGGGCGAGGGTCGGATCCAAGATTACCCCCACAAGAGCTCTGTGCAATCTTGGATTTTGGATCTTCGATCTGGGCCCGAATCAAAATGATTCGTAAATGATTCGGATGTTCCCATGCCTTTCTCCGAAATCTCAGCTGCAGAACGGCGTGGGTTAATGGGATCGGGGAAGTGCCTGAGGATCGTATGTTTCTTCCTTCTCTTTAAATATAGAACTCTCGCCGCGGACCAAGAGAGATCGTATTCAAACGAATTTTCCAACGTATTCTGTTGACTACGCCTCGGATCCAAGATTCAAGATTCAAGGTGCCAGGGAGAACTTTGCCCTGCATCTTGAATGTTAAACCTTGGATCCGAGGCGTATTCAACAGAATACGGTTCGAATACGCTTGAATACCGAACCTTGCGGTTTGACCCTTGCATTTTGTATTTCGAGCCTGCCGTTGTTCTGTGG